GGTGCTCTGAACATCATTGTGCACCATGTCTAGACTAGATAATTCCTACATACATCAACTTCGCTCCTCAGATGGGAGGATGCTAAGGGGGAATCCGCAAGTTCTGAGACACATCCAGAAACCAGGAATTTATGTCTTCCCTGCCGCATCTAGGTTTTTAAAACAATCATAGCAGGTCATTGCTGGGAGCAGTTTCGGGGAGCAATGAGATGAGTTTGTAGATAATAATCAGACTAAGGAGTAAGACTACCAGGAAACTTTCCAGTGGTTCTCAACCTTCCCTTTAAATACAGTTCCTCATGTTGTGACCAACCATAAAATTATTTTCATTGCTACTTCATAACTGTAATTTTGCTACTGTTATGAATCGTAATGTAAATATCTGATATGCAGGATGGTCTTAGGCGACCCCTGTGAAAGGGTCGTTTGACCCCCAAAGGGGTTGCAACCCACAGGTTGAAAACCGCTGCTTTAGGCTTTGGAAAACAGCTGCTCAAAAACATGAATTTGCTTAAACATTTCATAGATTTCTACCCTGTGCTCACGGTGATACAAAATATTTTAAAACCCAGTACCTGATCTTTTTTTTTCTTTTCAAATATATTTTATTGATTTTTTTACAGAGAGGAAGGGAGAAGGATAGAGAGTCAGAAACATCAATGAGAGAGAAATATCAATCAGCTGACTCCCGCACACCCGCTACTGGGGATGTGCCCACAACAAAGGTACATGCCCTTAAGCGGAATTGAACCTGGGACCCTTCAGTCCGTAGGCCGGTGCTCTATGCACTGAGCCAAACCAGTTAGGGCCCCAGTACCTGATCTTATAAGAAGAGGGTGGGGACCAAGGAAGTCACAGACAACTGGCCTAGAGAACAGTCATATCCAAGGCTTGGAGACACTAGTCAATCTTTAAAAGCATCTGCTGCCCGGCCAGGTGGCTCAGCTGATGTTGTCCCATGCACCAAAAAAACTGCAGGTTCAATCCCTGGTCAGGATGTGTGCAAGAGGCAACCCATAGACCTAACCGGTTTGGCTCAGTGGATAGAGCGTCAGCCTGCAGACACAAGGGTCCCAGGTTCGATTCCGGTCAAGGGCATGCACCTTGGCTGCGGGCACATCACCAGTAGGGGGTATGCAGAATGCAGCTGATCGATGTTTCTCTCTCATCGATGTTTCTAACTCTCTATCTCTCTCCTTCCTCTCTGTAAAAAATCAATAAAATTTTTTTTTGAAAAAGAGGCAACTCATCAATGTTTCTCTCTCTCTCTCCCCCTTCCCTTTCCTCTCTCTCTAAGATCAATAAATATATCCTTGGGTGACACTAAAAAACAAACAAACATCTTCTATAATTATAAGATCAGTCTTAAAAGTTGAGATAAATGGAAATTCTCCAACACATTTGCTACATTTAAGAAAATGGATTTCTGTAATTAGAAAACTGCTAGGTTAATAAGAAAAATTATATTAATTTTAATTTCCCTATAAGCCCCAAACTAAAAGAAAAACACACCATAAGAGTTCTTATGTAGCCGTAACCGGTTTGGCTCAGTGGATAGAGCGTCGGCCTGCGGACTAAAGGGTCCCAGGTTCGATTCCGGTCAAGGGCATGTACCTTGGTTGCAGGCACATCCCCAGTAGGAGGTGTGCAGGAGGCAGCTGATCGATGTTTCTAACTCTCTATCTCTCTCCCTTCCTCTCTGTAAAAAATCAATAAAAATATATTTAAAAAAAAAAGAAAAAAAAAAAGAGTTCTTATGTAGTTAGAGCAGCCGTGGGCAAACTACGGCCCGCGGGCCGGATCTGGCCCGTTTGAAATGAATAAAACTAAAAAAAAAAAAAGACCGTACCCTTTTATGTAATGATGTTTACTTTGAATTTATATTAGTTCACACAGACACTCCATCCATGCTTTTGTTCCGGCCCTCCGGTCCAGTTTAAGAACCCATTGTGGCCCTCGAGTCAAAAAGTTTGCCCACCCCTGAGCTAGAGAGTCACATTATGAGAAGGCATGTAACCTGAGAAAATGTTCCTGCCAAAATTAGTTTCAATATTTCTCTATCATTTCCTCTCATGAAGAACAGAGGTCACTATTTATTAGAAAAATAAATATATCCCAAAAAAATTCTGGATTCTAATTGCATCCAGAATCAAATAATAAACAATTTATCAATATCCAATATATTCCATATAATTCTGTTTTTATTCTAGATTTTTAACGATTAGCACAAGAATTTTTCTGCCACAATAACCACATGACCTATTAGGAGAGACCCTGGCAGGTGCAGGCACTCTCGCAGATGCTACAGACACATCTCATTTACTCCACGAAGGACCACTATGTCCGATGACTGTACCATGTGTGCAATTCTCTTCCTTATAAGAATGCTGTTTTGCTCAGTTATCCAGCACTTTAAGAATGGTGATTGAGAAAAAAGTGTATATGTTTCCGAAAGCCCTTCACAGACTCTAAAGCAAGTTTCAACTGTTAAAAAAGAATACAGGGGAGGAGGGAAGGGAGTATTATACAGTCAGTATCATGAGGTTGAGCTTTTACTACTTGAAGAAGGGATTTCTGATTTCTCAAAAGAAAAGAAAGAAGAAAAAAGAAAAAGAAAAATCCAACAGTGTGACATAGTTGGTACAATAAAATAAGTTAGAAAAAAATGAACTCTCAGTTAATTCCTATTAGTACAAGCAGTGCAACTCTAGGTAGTGTGATGGAATTGATTCAGGTAGTTTTAGTGGTTAGAGGAAAGTGTGGGGGTAATGGGGTCCTCTGGGTACATGCTGGGTCTTAAGCCTGCCTTCTCCAAATATGCAAGGATATCTTTCATTACACTCACATTATTCTTTTATTCTTTTAAATTCCTTTTAAAAAATTACTTTAGGGGAAATTGCTTGCCATGGCTTACATGAGGAAAGGTATGTTTACCTAGAAATTGCCCAGTGAGCTTTACTACTTTCGCAATACTAGGAACCACTTAGATAAATTCAAAACTGAATTTAGCAGTAATCATTTGAAAGTGTGTTATTAATAAAGCAAATTATAACTTGTGATAAAAAGGTAGACATGAAAAACTAAATAAACTTATTGGAAGGCAAATTTTACTTAGGCTTACATTACTTTAAAAGGGAGCTAAATTCATCTTAGTGGGCTGGTTACTCACAGCAAAATTTTAATTTATCTTGGTAAGAAATGAAACAATCATCTCCAACAAAGCTAATATACCACTGAGATTTTTAATGATTCCAAACATGTTGCTTATTTAAGCAAAATCAAAGCTTTTTAACATTTTAATCAAATCTTCATAATATCTGTGTATGAAGCAGCTTAAGCCCATCTTGCCTGACACCCAGGGAATTTAAATCACTAGAGGTCGGGTACAGACAAGCCTGTAGTGACTGTTGTTTGCATTCTCACACAGTTCAACTAGTTTCCTCTTTCCTGTCTTTATAATACAGGTAAGAAAAGAAAGCTTTTTTAAGAATGCATAACCCTCCCAACCCCAATACCCCATGCAGAAGTGGGTGGAATGCAGTATGGAGATATGTGTAGAAAGTTATAAAAATACAAAAATATTTTTTAAAACATTAGAATTTCTTGCTTTGAAAGTTTTGTGATTTTTCTTAGAGCAGGATACATCTGACGATTGGCTACGTCCTTTGAGGATCACAACAATGCCCAACTCATAGGACTGCCATGAGATCTAAGATAACTAATACATTTATAAGTGCTTGGAAGTATATTGCCAGATAATAAGTGCTCCATCAGTGTTAGCTGCTTTTAACTAGTATTATTACTATCATCACCATCATCAAAATAGTACAATTTCAAGAAAAAGTGAACTCAAAAAGTATGCAGAAAAAGAAGTCACAATCTCCCTTCCCTCTTTTTATTTTATGTATTTGAATAGATTCGTGGTTTTATGAGTCTATACTAAATTCTGTGTTACTTCTGCATTCTAATAATCATGGTCATCTATAAAGTTAAAGATAATGGGTTATAGGGCAAAAAAATAGAAATAATATAAATCAAGAATTACTTTAAAGATAAGCATATACTGACAGTTATTTGCAATGCATTCTTTCTCTGCTATACTCCTCATTAAGTATGCAATAAAAACAGAATCTGGCCTGGCCGGTGTGGCTCAGTAGTTGAATGTCAACCTATGAACCAGAAGGTCATGGTTCGATTTCGGGTCAGGGCACATGCCTGGGTTTTGGGCTCCATCCCCAGTAGGGGGCTCCAGGAGGCAGCCAATCAACGATTCTCACTCCTTATTGATGTTTCTATCTCTCTCTCTCCTTTCCTCTCTGAAATCAATAAAAATACATATTTTTAAAAAACACAGGATTTGCTCAGGGCATTGTAGGAGAAAACCTAAGAAACATAGGCTTCAGAGACTCAACCTCAAAGTAGTAAATGAAATAATAATACATGAAAGTAGAGCTAAATACCTGAAAGTACAGAATGTGGTGATAATTAAATACTGAATGAGAGCTCAGAGAAGGTCACTTCCAGGATGACAGTCCTGCTGCATCTAAGGGACTAGAAAGTCATCAGTTCTTCTTTGTGTTTTAAGGCATCCTTTAAGTCCAGGGTGGAGAACCTTTTTTTTGCCAAGGGCCATTTGGATATTTATGACATCACTCGGGGGCCATACAAGAGTATCAACTTAAAAATTAGCCTGTTATATTTGGGCAAACATTTAATTAACTCCTCCTTAACGCCTTTGCAGGGCCAGACCAAATGATTTTGCTGGCCTTATACAGCCCATAGGCCGGAAATTCCCCACCCCTGCTTTAAATGAACCTAAGACATTTGGAGTTCTTATCTGATCAAAGAGAACAGTATTTCTAAGCCTGTGTAAGAAAGAGATACCTGCATTCACCAAGCACACAGGGTGAGCACGCAGGAAGCACATGTCACGCAGGCCTTGCTCACCCTATTGAGAGAAAACCACGAGGCGCAGAGGATCTCTGCTGGCCTGGACACACCTGCTGGCACGGCCGGGCCTGGGCCTGCCGGAGGAGCCGCTGCTGCTGCTGCAGGAGCTTCATCTGGACCAGCTGCTGCTGCTGCGACGTGATGGCGTGCAACGAGGGCGGCTGCATGAGGGCGCCCGAGCGCCGCTGCAGCATGTTCGACAGGGCTTGCTTGGTGTTGGTAGGGACAAAGGAGCCTGTGGGGTCCAGTCTAGAGCCACCTACAAAGCAACCAGAGGAAGGGCTTTCTATACATTGATGCAGCAATTCCTACTGATTTGATTAAAATGTAGAAACCTCACCTTCTGAGCCTCACTTTATGAAGCAAAATGGAACAGAAGGCGCCATCCCACCCTACACAAGAACTGCAGAATTTTCACAGGATAGGGAGGGTGGTGCAGGAGCAACTATAGCATTTGAACGGCCTCACGAAGGGCCACCTGAACTGCTAAAGCGACGTGCCTGAAACAGTGGTCGGCGCACTTTGGGAATCACATGGGTTTTAAATTATGGAAGGCTCCCAGGAACATATTTCTTGCATAAAATGTATTACATCTGCCAAGTGTCCTAAGCCAGGCCTAGAAACGCTTTTGTAATTTAGACAATTGGAAGCTCATAGTACTTAAGGGAAATGCCTATCTTATAGTAGAGATGCTTAAAAATACTTAAAAAACTGGAAATGCTTGGAAACTTCAAATACCTTGATTCTAAAGATAAAACACATCTTTTTGAAGGTTAGAGATAAAATAAACAGGAAATATTGATTATAGTGATGCTGAAGAAACCAAAGAAAATCCTTAACATTTTGCATATGTAATTTGCCAAATGTCTTTAAGAGTTCAAGGGGGAAAAAATTCAACATTTGCTGACTTCAAAGTAGGTGCTAACCCTTCATTCGCCACACAGTCTACATACATTCTTTAACGTACATGAATAAGAAAATGTCTATATAAAGACCTCACAAAGAGCAAGTAATATGATAGAGGCAAAAAGTTGAAAGCTGTTCTCTCGAAAAACCCACACTCTTTTATACATTCAGTATCACAATCAGAGATATGATTTAATAAGTAATTCAGCAGCATTTGAAGATCATTTGGGAGAAAAAAGGATAGTTGATTTGAGTAACATATGGCAAGGTAACTTTGTGAAGCAAGAATGCGAACTAATGTATAAAATGTAATTGACTCATTTTATGGATAAGGGACATACTTTTTAAAGATTAGACTACGGTCTACTTTCTTTTATTTTTTTCCTAACTTTTCTATGTTATAACTCTGAATCAACTAAAAAAATTAATATAATAAATATATTTGAAGCCTTGTTACTTTCCTCCCCTTCTCCTATTGAATGTTATTCTAAATTTGATGTTTATTATTCATACACATTTCCTTATAAATTTACCATACTGTCGTGTATACAGGGGAAAAAGAGAGAGATTGGTAGAGGTGTATGTGTGTGGGTGGACACTGTTTTGTGTTTTAACTATCCTATCTAATAAAAGAGAAACATGGTAATTGGCGTATGACCGCTACCCTTCCCATTGGCTAATCAGGGCAATATGCAAATTAACTGCCAGCCAAGATGGTGGCCGGCAGCCAGGCAGCTTGAAACTAACATGAGGCTTGCTTGCTTCAGTGACAGAGGACTCCAACGTTCCCCGCCTGCCGCCTGCCGCTGCAGGCCTCTGAGCTGCAACTCTAAGCAACTATGTAACAAATATAGAAGCTAAACAAAACCCCAGAAACCTGCTTTAGTCCGCCGGGCTTCAGCCAGCAGGATCGCAACATTGTAAACAAAGGCCAGAAACCACTTTCAGCAGCGGAGGCCTAAGAGCTGGAGCCAAGCCTCAAAGCTAAAGCTGGCCCAGAATAAAAAAAAAAAGAATAAAAGGAGCGGTTGGGAGCTTCAGTCACCCGCCAGCCTGAAAACAGCCCTCAGGCCCTCACCCAGACTAGCCAGGTACCCCAGTGGGGACCCCCACCCTGAAGGGTGTGTGACCAGCTGCAAACAGCCATCATCCCCTCACCCAGGCTGGCCAGGCACCCCAGTGGGGACCCCCACCCTGATCCAGGGCACCCTTCAGGGCAAACCAGCCAGCCCCACCCATGCACCAGGCCTCTATCCTATATAGTAAAAGGGTAATATGCCTCCCAGCACCGGGATCAGCGGAGCCGAGAGGCCTCCAGGCACCGGGATCAGTGTGACAGAGGGCAGCGCCCAAACCCCCTGATCGCCCTGCGGCTCTGTGTGTGATGGGGGCGGGGCCACAACCTCCCTATCCGCCCTGCTCTGTTCCTGACAGGTGAAGGCGCCCCAACCCCCTGATCGCCCTGCGGCTCTGTGTGTGACAGGGTGCAGCGCCCCAATCCCCTGAACGGCCCTGCTCTGTGTGTGACAGGGTGCGGCGCCCCAACCACCCCCCCCACGGGCCCTGCTCTGTGTGTGACGGGGTAGAGCCATAACCTCCCCATCGGCCCTGCCCTGAGTGTGAGAGTGGAGGTGCCCCAACCCCCTGATCGGCCCTGCTCTGTGGGTGATAGAGGGTGATGCCCCAACCCCCACCCCACTGGCCCTGCTCTGTGCATGACAGGGTACAGAGCCCCAACTCCGCTGATAGGCCCTGCTCTGTGAGTGACAGGGGGCAGTGCCCCAACCCCCTGATGGGCCCTGCTTTGTGCATGACAGGGGGCGGCGCCCCAACTCCCCAATCGGCCCTGCTCTGAGCCCGACCAGGGGCTGCACCTAGGGATTGGGCCTGCCCTCTGCCACCCGGGAGCAGGCCTAAGCCAGCAGGTCGTTATCTCCGGAGGGGTCCCAGAGTGCGAGAGGGCACAGGCCGGGCTGAGGGGCCCCCCTACCCCCCGAGTGCACAAATTTTTGTGCACCAGGCCTCTAGTACAGTATATAAATGGAAACATGTTGTACACACTCTTCCTCAATTTCATAGGATTCACGTTTTTATGAAATTATATTATTTCACAGATATATAACGCTCATAAGTAGTTGTTTACTTCACATATTTTTCTTACACTTCATCATATCATCATACCTAAGACTTACCTAATACCCAAATTCCCCAACTTACAAATACCTTCTATAACACTCTAGGGTGAAAGGGTGTGTGGCTTTACAGTATACTGAGCCTTCTATTCATACAGTCCTTGTGCTGGACTCTATTGTTGACAAAGTTGAAAATGCTACAAAGTTCACAAGGACCTTGGAATTAAAGAGAAAATCAGAGGAGATGGCAATTGTGTATTATTTTCCACATTTACCATGAAGTCTAGCTTGTTCTTTATAGTGTGCATTTACTCACTCAACAACCTTCTTTGAGAGCCTGCTTCCATGCTGCTATAGTAAACATAACAGAAAAACCCCTGCCCTCACAGAGCTGACCTTCTGGGGCAGGCAGGTAAGTGAACATGTAGCACTTAAGCAAGCACTGTTGCCATGGAGAAACAGAAAGAAGAGGAGGGGGACAGAGTGTAGGGTAGTCAGTGCAAGCTCACTGAGAAAGTGGGGTCTGACCAAACCCAAAGGAGGCATTGAGCCATGCAGATGTCTGAGGGAGAGCATTCCCAGCACGGGGCCCAGCAGGTGCAACAGCCCTGCCGTGAGAATGTATTCAGATCATTTACTTAACATGTCTGCTGTGTCAGGTTACCTTCTGAGTGCTACCTTTTAAACATTTACTTTCAATCACCCATCCTATGAAGGTATATATCAGCATATCCATTTTACAAATGATCAAGCTGTAAAATGATCAGGAACAAAGTAATTAGGATTGGCCAAGATTATACTGCAGAAAGCGACAGAGCGAGACTGTAACGTAGAACTGTAACACCCAGAACGCTCGCTATGCCACTAATTTATGGGACAAACTGTGGATTCTCCACTGCTCTAAGCCAAGAATCAGATATCTTCTTTTTCCCTAAACCTCAAAAATGTTATACTCAACTTACAATAAAAAAATTCACTATCCTGCGGAGCACAATAAGTAAAATATGATATATTAGAAAGACACAGCCTAACAAAATGCAGACTGAGATCTCAGAAATAATCTACTTTGCTAAAATAGGCAAACTTTCCTTTAGAAAGAAAATTAAATCCTTTCCTAATTAAGAAATTTTGTATTTGGGAAATCTTCACTCCATATATAAAATCACCTGAGCTTGAATCGGAGCAGTACCCAAATCAGCAACACCCACTCTGGATATGGCAGTTTTCCTTGGTGACCGTATCTAAATCTACTTGCTGAACCAGGTTTCTGAAATCCATGGTATACACAATTTAAAGTTCAAAACATAAGAAAATAATAAAAGACACTGTGCAATACTGTCTGGTCTTTTTAAATGCTGGTAACTATATCTGATAAAAATGTACACAAATTTCACAATATAAAACTTCGATCAACGTTATATTTTACTAGAGGCCTGATGCACAAAATTCGTGCCAGAGTAGACCTTCCTTCCCCTGGCTGCCGGCACCAGCTTCCCTATGGCACCCGGGACCTGGGCTTCATCCAGAAGGTCATCTGTAAGGACATCCGGTCTAATTAGCATAGTACGCTTTTATTATTATAGACAGCTTAAGATTTTCATCAGTGGCTAATTTCCTCCCAGCACTGGATGAAAACTCCAAAATCAGCCCACAAACTCATAACTGAAACCTTATTTTAGAAGAAGAAGTAACACGTTGAATGGAGAGAAATCTATAAATGTCAGCTGAGCACTCAGCTCTTGAAACTTCCAAGTTTTAAGGAGGTTTCAGGTTAAAAGCAAGGAAAACCCCAAGTGAGAACTCCAAGCCACTTGTCATCTCGAGGATCCGACTCTGCTCTCTTCACGTACCTGGAGTAAGAGATGGGCTCTGCAGGAAAAAGCCAGGCTGCTGGGGCTGCCCCATGAGGTTGTAGCCCCACAAGGCAGACTGTGGGTGGTGCATCATCTGGGAGGAGATGGGTGAGTAATTAGGAGGCACTCGGTATATGTTGCTCTGTGGATACTCCTTCAACATAAAGTTAAAACAAAAAGTTACTTAACTCCACACACCACATAGGAAATGAATGCAAATTCTTCCTATCACATTATTTGAGATAACTTCTCTCCCAGTAGATAAGGCTATTTTATAAAGGGAGAGATGGAAGGCAGAAGTCTCAATATAATTCTCTGCAAAACACTCATTTAGTGAATACTTTTCGTTAATTTAAAAAGAACCTGGCTACAGTGGAGGGAGATGGAAAAAAATATCTTTTCTAAACTTCATTTTAAAATACTAAAAACACATTTAAAATATTGATATTGACCACCAACCACAGCTGAAGGGCGACTTTGTAATTGCAAAGTCTCCCAAAGGCCTTGCTGATGCCTGGGGTGAAGATCAGATTCCTGCCACAGGCCCACAATACTTCAGAGCCAGGCCCGGCTCGGACAGGATCTTATTCCCAGTTTTCAGGCCAGTATTCTGCAAGAGCAGACTCCACCACCATCCTGCAAACACAACCACTTCCACTCCCACCTCCAACCCCCACCCCCAATCTCCCAACAGGGCTTCCTCTTCCTCACAGCAGCCAAAAGGCTCTAAGGGTCACAGGTCTCGGCTAGCTCTAAAGGACAAAGGGAAAATAAAATTTCAGAAAAGTACAGCCTGCACTTCATCCCATCGGGAAGAGGCAGCCTCAGGAGTAGTGTGGGAGGCAAAGAAATGACCAAGACTTACTTGGGGAATGAGATAAGTTTTAGGTCTTTTGCAGATAAAAAGAACAGAAATCCATCCCCGTGGCTGGACAGGCTGGGAAACCTGGATTTCAGGGGATGGCAGTCTGGACCTTATTAAGTACCCCTTTCAAGACAAAGGAATACTGGCAGGAAGACTGTATGAAAGATGACACTGACACTCAAGTGACATCCAAAAGTGATAGTGATCATTTCTAGAATAATAATCACCAAACTATCCAGTTGACAAAGACATGTTTTGGCTTTGACAAAGGTAAACAATAACATCAAATAATCATGGTGTCTAAACACTACATTGTGAATATTTTTTCCACTGCACAGTAAGAACACCTTTGAATTTCATAGGAAAATAATCTCAAATTGTCTCTCAAGTATTTTTCAGTTAAATGGAAAGATATTTTATATATTAATTCTGTAAGTTCTATAAAATTATTTTAAATTACCATCTCATAGGTTTCTGTTGTTTTTAAGAAAATGTTGCTACAGATAGGGAAGTCTAGTAGGCAAACAAGAAGTGAAACTACATCATGTTTATGTTATCTTTTATAAAGTCTGGAAATATGATAGAGAAGTAGAATACACAGATGAGGAAGGTGAATTTTATTTTAATATACTATAGCTATCAATTGCTGAAAATACAATAACTATGTTAAACACAGCTTATAAGAAAAATACATGGGAGGATGAGATTTTATAGGTCTGAAAAATTCAAGTTTCAAATCTGAGAAATCATGAGGCACTGAAATATTAAATACTAGAGGCCGGGTGCACGAAATTCATGCACAGGTAGGGTCCCTAGGCCTGGCTGGCAATCAGGGCCGATCTGGGCCTTCTGGCTGCCGGCCTGGGCCTTCCTTCATTCCACGTCGCCCCCTAGTGGTCAGCACACATCATAGCGAGCAGTCGAACTCCCAGTAGGTCAAACTCCCCAGGGGACAATTTGCATATTAGTGTTTTATTATATAGGATGATTCACAATGGAAGCTTAAAATTAAACAGTTATAAAAAGTAGAGGAAGAAAAATCAAAAGCTATGATCCTAATTCTATTCATTATGACAGTGCCTCGTTAGGATAATTCTTACCAAAAAAAAGGTTTTTACTGCTTTTAGCAGTGCTTCTAGGGATATAAGTTGGACACTAAATCTACTGGATGCTCTTGCATCGAAGTTCCCTCTACTTCCTGTACTTACATCAACTCTTGAGCTTGATTTTGTCTTGCGCTTCCTTCCCTTTGTTTTCTTCTCTTCATCAGTTGTGGTTTTTCCCTGATCTGACAGCTCAGCTGATTTCCTCTCTGGTTCCTGAGAAATGGGAGACGTGGGCTCTTCCTCTTCCTCCTCGGGAGGCAGGGGCAGCGGCTCGAGGTAGTAACTTCGGGGCTTGGGCATAGGGTGTGTGTGGTACAAAAGGAGGTGGTGCTGCTCCTCATACTTGATCACCTTCCGGTCTATTCGGACTGTCCCGAACCAGGCCCAGGACAGAGGAGCTGGGTTCTTCTGACCCTCAAACAAATCCCAGGGGGACACCTTCTGCTTCGTAGAGACCTGGAGACCCTGTGGCAAAATAACATTCTATGACCACACCCTCAGACCTTTTTCTGATTAGGGTCAGGCTTGCTTAGGACATGGATTCAGAGAACATTTTGGCGGGTGTGGGCCTTCACAAGAACTTAGCATAGAGCAGACAGGCTAACTAATCAGTCCAGGGTCACACAGATCACTGGTGGGGCTGGCTAGAATCCACAGTTCTATGGTTCTCTCTACCACTGAGCTCCATAGATACAGTTTATTGTACAATGGCATTTTTTTTCATGTAGTTTTCTTTTGTTAGCAAAACAATAATTTTTAAGAAATGCTATAAAATTGATCTTACTATACTAACTTATAATCAGTTATAAATCTTTGGAATCCATTTATTGTTTTTAGGATAAGAAACATTCAACCTCTAATTGGGCTCAAATGAACTTTAATCCAAACATGAGTGGACTTGATTCAATATGGGCACCTTTCATGTACTTAATAAGCCATAGTTAAGTCATTTTATTACAGAATTAACTTGACCAACATGTAGAAATAAACTCCTTCAATTCAAGCTTATCTCTACGGAGTTCAGAGGAGAAAATGTTATTTTGTTTCTGAAAATAAGAAGTTTATTTTTAACATTAATTGGTAATGTCCCTTGGTACTTTCCCTGGCATAGCAATTTGAAAATACTTTTCTTCAGTATGAACCCCAAAATAATTACTCGGGCATTCCATAACTATGCCCTCTTACCTACACACTCTTCCATGAGCAGCTTTATCCAGAACCAAGGCTCAGTATCATCTGCATACTGACTGCTTCCTAATATGTCTTGAGATTAGACTTCTCTCCTGGGTGCCAAGACCACATCTCCAAATGGCTTATACATGTCTCACCACTAGAGAGCCCACCAGCACTACAAATTCAACTTGCCCATGATTCTAGCTCTTTCTCTCCACAATGCACCAATGTGGTAAGCACCTAAAGTACTCCGAGTTACTGTTGCATTGCAGTTCAATGAGCCACCTTTTTTGTGTCTTTGCATAAATTCTTCCCTTTGCCTGTACTACATTTTCCCCTACCTCCCAGCTAACTCTTAATCCTTCAAAATGATTCATGTCGATTTTCCTGGGGATGCTGCTCCAACTATTTTCTTGCCATCTGAGTGTGATGGCTCCTTCTCAGGGTCCCTAACACTGTGCAGCATGACACACAAACCTCACCATACGCTGTCTATCTACTACTAAGAGGGTAGGCGCTCTGTCTTTCATCTCTGTGATTTTGGAAATCTGTAGTTGTTCACGTTCACTGAAAGAATCATGGACCACTCTTCTTGTATTATAAGAAAACCCTGCTTAATATCTTATATAAGATCAAGTTTTCATTAAATATTGTTTAATTGATATGAAAATAAAGTACCATCACTTTAAACATTTTTACTCAAAATAGTTTTACGACATAAAGACTTTTAGCAACAAAAATTATCTAAACGTATTGTTTCCAATTCTGAAGTAAAATTACAGCTGATCTTTTGTTTGTTTTTTACACTAAGCTTTTTAGTTTTCTATTGTTGAATTTAAGAAATTCACTTAAATTCAAGTACAATTTTAAGTAAAGATCTTGAAAGATTTAACTTTTATTATAATGCCAATAACCATTAAATGATAAAAATATGCATTTAAAGAACAGGAAACTGTAAAATTAAAATGCTTTATATGCTTTACAGGAAGACAAAAAGTTGTATTTTGTTTTTGTAAGATTAACACATAGTTATATACACAAGAAACAAACACTTTACTCTTGCCTGTTTTTTATCTATAGAGTCGAACCCAGCAATTTTGTTTCCCTTTGTGTCAATCAAGGAACCCATAGGCTCACAAGTGATGACATCACATGTCTGTTTTGGCAAAGGCAGCAGCTGTTGAACTTTATCAATACTTTCTGACCGCTTGTCTCCTAGCTCTTTCTAAAAAAAAAAAAAAAATGAGAGAGAGAAAAAGAGAAGTGGAACAGAAATTACAATGAAGGCAAAAGTTGCCCAGAAGGAAGTTCCCTTATGAAACATTTCCATTATATAGCTGAAATGTTCTTTTACTTGAAACATGGTCTACGTTGCAACTCTCAATTAGAGTGGTGAGTGTTTCATTTCTTCATTTTAGGTAGAAAATAGAACACATAAAAAGGCACGCTTGTTACACAACAAACTTCACAATGCTGAAATGACAAAATCTAGGACAGCAACTGTAACGAGAAGGCAGGAGCTGCAGCACGGAACACGTTCTTGAATGCAGGGCCACAGCGCAAGGTAACCATTGGTTATTTTACTGTAAGGTCATATTTTTTTTCTCTTATGCAGTTTACTTATAGTTTATTTCAAAACTGTGTTAGTGGTTAGTAAAATGAATTGGATTTAGATATATCAGTACAAGTGATTATTTTCAACTGCATGTTCCAGTCCAAGCACAAATGTATCTTAAATCTGATGCTGGTACTCTGATTAGATATTTGGTAATGCATTTCTAAAGTTCCTTAAAAAATTAAACATGCTTTATGAATATAAATTTTTTTAAAAGACAAACCTTCAAACTATATGCTTACTACTTTGGGGTTCTAGTGAGCTAAGGTAAAGAAAATAGCAAAATAATCACATTAAATTAATTTGAGTGCAACAAATAACATTTACTTTAACGAGGAGTAAAATTAGATAAAATGTACTAAATAACAAACCCACAAGCCATCTGAGTTCATAATAAGCAGGTCACAAACTTGCCTTCAGTTTCTTTACTAAATTCATGTATGCACGTCTATTCTCTTCAGATCCCCCTGGCAATGCGTTGGACAGGTCAGAGGCTAATGTTCCATTGATTAAAACACCCAGCATGTCAAGAACTGTTGTGAATAATTCACTAAGAGGGGACAGAAAAGAATTATTTTCACCTCAGAGCAAAACCAAGATAATCTTAACTGAGAATTTTTATTTAAGGCATAGAATGTACCTAAGAAAATAAGATGCGACAGAAATTAACATCAGTATATCAAAGCCTCTGCCATGTACACGCGCAGCAAAGTAAAGGTGAAATGATAAGTACATACTTGTTGGTGTGCATGTCAACGGTTCCAGAAGTAATGATTTGAAGAAGGAGGAGGGCCCAGTCTGTGGTCCATTGGGTGCTCCTCTGCACTGTGTCAAACATTCCTCCCACCTAGTACATAAAAAATACAATAAAAAAATCTGCATTGTGTTAAAGAGAAAAATATATTTTATTTAGCCAAATTTTGATTAATTAAAGAAAATCCTCAAAAAAAAAGAAAGAAAAGAGAGAGAAAAGAGAAGAGAAGAGAAGAGAAGAGAAGAGAAGAGAAGAGAAGAGAAGAGCACCTGAGTGTGGGCACATGATCAGTAGGAATTACAGCTGACCCTTGACAGCTGACCCTTGAAAATGCAGAGGCTTAGGGACAATGACCTTCCTCTTAGTGGAAAATCTACATCTAACTATTCCTACTACTATAAGTCAGTATAAATAGCTTTCTTTTATTCCTAAACATTCAGGAAACCCTCTTTTATGGTGTGATTTTAGTCGAATTAAATCTAAATAGGTCAGAACCACATAATCCAATTATCTACACCTTTGTGCTGTCAATTACTATTGAATCTAAGCCTGTTGTCATAATAGCACTCAGAATTATCCAGTAACACCGAAGTAATGATGAGCAGGAGGCATGGCCCCCAGGTCTACTCTTTCATGTGTGGGAATTCTGTTGAAATCAATAATCAGTGAATATCCCCAGAGTGCCCTTCAGCTGGCTTGTCCAGTGGGAAAGAAAAATTCAAAGGAATGTTCAATGTGTGAGAATTTTAAATTTCTGAAAACCAAAACCTTCCATGTAGAATTTGTTTTTATGATCAATTTGATAATTTTGACTTAAATGTCATTTTAATATGGTTTTTAAATAAGCATAGTCAAAACTAACTTCCATCTCAGAATACTGGTCCTCTAAGTCCTCCTCTGAGCTCACACCCAAAAGGAGAGATTCCCTGGGGCGGGGCTGCAGAACACAAACCGGAGCCTAAAATACCTACCTACTGCTGTCCGGAAGTTAGGCCAGACAGGAAGAACAGCAGCCAGGAAAACAGGAAGGTTAGAGGGACAGGGAAGTAGCCACAGAGAGCAAACAGCAGAGGGCCTCACCTTGCAATGAAGACTTGTGACGACAGTGGAAGTGGGAGGCTATGTAAGATAAGTTTAACGCAGGCAGAAGACTGGAAATGTCTTACCAAATTCAGGCGGAGCTGCAATGCTTCGTGCATCATCTGCCGTGCTTTTATGTCATGTTGGTATCGCTCTTCTCTCCAATTACTTAAGATCTAAACCAGACAATACATTAAAAAAAAAAAATCCAGAACTGGTTTCCCCTGTTAAAATTAAATTTTTCATATCTTAAGTTAAATTGAGCTTTTACTGATGGTCAAAAATAACTTCTTGGTTTAACAAATTAAATAAAACTTTCCTCCCCTTCCACTAAGCAGACAGAAATCTGGCTATTTCTTTGTCATTACCTTTCCAGATGGGAGAGGAAAAATCTTTTCTAATTACTTATCCAGTAGTCTTAGAAAACGTTTTTAGAGGACCATCAAGTTAAACATTAACAAAAATAAAGATCAGTTTTTAAATACAGTTGACCCTGAACATCATGGGTTTGAACTGTGCGGGTCCACTTACACATGGATTTTTCAGTAAATATACAGGCAGCCCCTCTACAAATACGGGTTTCACATCTGAGAAACAGTATTTTTTTATCTGAGGTTGGAAATTTGCAGATTGTTCTTCACCATAAGGGACTGGAGCATTCTCAGGTTTTGGTTTCTGAATACCAGGAGGATGACTGGAGTTTTGGGAAAGCAAAAGTTATATAAATTTTTTTATTGTCTTGGGGTCGGTGCCCTTAAACCCCATGCAACTCAAGGGTCAACTATACATCATTACATCATTTCATTTGTCTTATAAAGATAAGTATTAGGCAGATAAAATTACATTTTATATCAGCTCTGGGTTATATTTCTAGGGACACGCTGTGAACCCTAGCAAATGTACTAGTGTTATTTTAGTGTCCTTTTGAAGTGGAATCTTGTCTTCCTTGATAAAGATAATACATACTATTTTGAAAAAATGTGACAATTTGGATATTAGTCAAGTGGCATATCCACTTATAAAGTGAGTGCTTCTTCTGTGATTCAGACTAATGCTGGGAAAGGAAAGGTGTTCTTAGGAAGGGCAAACTGCAAGTGGGCAACACCCCAGGATCAGATGGCAGGAGCAAAAACAAATGCATACCGCCTCCCCCCGCCAAAAAAAAATCTCATACTGCCATGCTCTGAAATATGTGTTAACTAATGAGAACCATCTTAACATAGTTGAAATGAGTCACATGCAGAAGTAAGCCCAGCAGATGACCTGTAAGTATCCTGCAGGGTAAGATGAGAACACTTCCCACAGCTCATCAAAAGAAATGGACTTCTCCCAGGCGAGATAAGGGTGCAAGGCAGGTAACAAAGCACACAAGCTGCCATGGAGCTTACATTCAAGGGGCAGGATCTTACCTAATAATAGACAAACATGTAAATTGACCGTCCCTCCGCTACATGTACCAGCCAATCAGGAGAATATGCAAATTAACCCAACAAAGATGGCGGTTAATTTGCATACATAGGTGCAAAGCAGCAGAGAGAAGATGGAAGGCTCCGGGCCGGAGTGAAGGCCTGGGTCCCAAGTGCCGGAAAAAAACCGGTGCCGGCAGCCAGGGGAAGGGAAGGCCTATTGCACGAATCTCTTCATGCAACGGGCCTCTAGTGAATAATAAAAAACCAGGTGCAACAAGTGGTATGGACTTGGGCCAGGGGATAGAGAATGAACGTCGTTCTATTTTTAGAGAGTGATCAGGGACGGCCTCCTGAAGGAGGTGACCTGTGAGCAGAGACCTGATGAAGTGAGGGAGACAACCATGTGCATATCTGAGAGAAAAGCCTTCCAGGTGAAGGGAAGAAAAGATGCAAAGGTGCTGCAATGACAATTTGTTCAAGGACCAGCAATGTGGCCACTGTGAAAAGAATGGAGTGAGCAAGGCCATGGCTGGTAGGAAAAAAGGTAGAACGAGAGCCAGTGCCAAATCACTAAGGCCTTATAAGCCCAGGCTTTGAATCTTTATTCTAAGTGTAGCAAGAATGATTGCAGCATTTTGGGCACCAAAGAAATGTGATTCACATTTAAAAAGGATTATTCTGGTGACTGTGTAGAGGATAGATTTCTCATATCCAAAAGGTAGAAGACAATGGGAGAACCAAGTAAGTGTCCTTGTTCATGTTCATCTAGTACCATTCAAGGAAAAGACATGATGTCATAGAACCACAGCACCACAGGAGGGCTCCATTAGGCTCTGCAGCAGGATAAAACATCCCACATGACCCACCCAACCACACTGCTCAATTCCACAATCTCCAGTTTCTAATGTGGTCACTAGTTTCCTTGTGGTACAGACAATGCAAGTGCCAGGGGAACTGTAGTTGCTGGAAAGACAAAGTCCATATTCTTTATCAATGAACCAAAATGACTTCTGATTTATAAATGAGTATCTTGTGTACTTGACTGGTATCATCCTGGCTCTGGCAATAAAATGAAATTGAGTTTCTGCACCTACAGGGCTCAAGATGAGACCCTGCCTGATAGGTGGAAGACCCCTTAGGTCTCAGATCTCTATTTCTGTCTTCCTGCCATGCCAACTGCAACAGGGACTTGCCCAGGATCCCCCCACCCCCACCCCCCCCAAGGCAGGATCAAGAGAGAACAGACATGTCCAAGTTATGTGTAATATGCAAATGTTACTTTTATACTCTGTGGACATTAATATAAAATTGTTAATCTTGTGGTGACTAGAATGTCAGGTAGGAGAATAGAGCATGAATTATGCCAACCTGCATCTAATCAAATCACGCTGTGTCCTTATTGGTTTAATCTCAGCATTTGAAAGGAAAACAAATTAATGCCATTAGAAAAACGCTTGCCTGGCTTCATACTCTACTCTACTTTACCTGATTAACTTGATTCTGGAGAGACATGAGGAGGCCTTCTCGTTGTTCATCTTGTCCCTTAAGGCAGGTAAGGACCAGTGAGAGGAATGGTTGTTGGCTCAAAAGAGACATACTACAAAGCAAATCATAACAGCAGATCTAGTTAGAAAGAATGGATTACTTCCTTGCAACACTGACTTCTTGCCCTCCAGTTTTGGCTCACTATTTTACTAATAGTTAGTCAAAAATGGAGAGTTAAGTCATATCTCTACTGATTATATTAAAAGCCACAGGAATGCTTCTAAATAATTTAATATTGAAGGCATTCCCCAAACTAGCATAAATTCATACTGCAACTGAGTGTGTAAGGGCAGAGAAGGAAGAAGAGAATTTGTATTTCACGTCAGTAAGTTGCATTTTATAATACACATCAGAAGGAATATCACCTTATACACAGAATAAAATTTAAAATGTAAACTTCCTCTCACACAAAACTCTTATTTTAGGGTCCAGCCCTATCTGATTGCTGTGCTTATTTTATTTTTCAGCACGTTTCTTGAGAACAAACAGTGGGGTATTTACTGGTAGAGCTAAAATCAGAATCTGGTTCAAGGACCCAGTATCACACAGTAAATATCTTGCCAAATACCAGAGTGCTTGCTCGTGACCTGAGGAGCACAGCCCCTCCACCCCCACAATGTAGTCTTCCAAGGGGTTTTAAGACATTTGGGCCCAACCAGTGTGGCTCAACGGTAGAGCCTCAACCTATGAACCAGGAGTTCACAGTTCGATTCCCAGTCAGGGCACATGCCTGGGTTGTGGGCTCAATCCCCAGTGCAGGGCATGCAGGAAGCAGCCAATCGACGATTCTCTCATCATTGATGTTTCTATCTCTCTCTCCCTCTCCCTTCCTCTCTGAAAGTAATAAAAATATTTTTTTAAAAAAGACATTTGGTAAAAATTCTATTAAGATTTATTCAATTATTAGAGAACAACTAACTAGTCATACTGATAAACTAATTGCTACACTGAAAAGAAAAATTTCTTCAAATGAGATTGAGGCCAAAATATTTCAATCTGCTTTATTTTACATAAGCAGACTGAGAGAGATTGACTTGGGAAGGGCCATTTTGAAACTTTGTAAGAGCCTCTAGACCTCTCTGTGGTAGGCGGGGCGAAGTACATACAATCACCCATTAGCTAACGAACTTTGAGAACTAAGTTGAGTCATCTGGTTGGTTAATTAATGCTAGCAAACATAACAAAACAATCAGATAACAAACAAAATATGAGCAAAGTTAGGTCTCTACCAAATGTTCTTCAGTTAAGAATGCAGGATCAGAAACCAGACCACCTGGTGTAAACCCAGCTTCCTAACTGCTTAGCTGTGTTCTCAAAAAATTTACTTAACCTTTCAGTGCATCAGTTTTTTCATCTGTAAAAAGTATATAGAGCTAAGATCAGCACCTGCTTCATGATTGCTGTGAGATTTTAAAAGTTTGAGTATATATGAAATAAATTTTATATAGGGGGTTGGCATTTGTAAGAGCTCAATAAATGACCGCTACCAAAATATTATTAATTAGAAGAAAATAATATTTCAAAAATTTTTTTTACTTCCCCCCATCAGCATTTATCCCCCCTGTATCCTCTTTCACTTCCACCCCCCACTCTCACCCCCCAATCAAACAGAAGAAATTATCATTATTTCCCCCTTATCCTTTGGTGATAAATTCACCATGTTTTCACATTTGAGAGTGGTTTTAGACTTCTTCAGTAACACAGTCAGTTTTCAAATAGAATTATTTGAAATCTTTTCAGGGCATAAAATAAATTAACATTAAACTTCATGGTTTGTAAGTTTTAATATCTGGCTCTGGCAGTAAAATCTAGAATAAGAACCTAAATGCTAAAAATATTAGTAACTATTTCAGGGTCCAACAAGACAGTACTAGAAATATTTCTATGTATTTTAAACACAAAGACTTAAGTAATAAAATAAAAAGAAAGAAAAGTGATTAAAAGGAGAAAACAGGGACCAGGTGGCAATCCAGGTCTGATTCAGGATGCAGTGGGGCTAAGAAGTCAGGATTTTCATAGCAGCAAGGATCGGGGTGCATAGGCGGAACTGAGAACGTGTAAACAGTATAACCTGGAACTTCTAAGGAACAGCGCCTCACCTAACAAAACATTTTCAATTTCATTTAATAACAAAATTTCAGTGGACTTGGAGGGCAGTGAACATGTATGTTTGCAGAATGCTACATTTCTCTCTTTCAAATCAGACACAGAGACACAACTTGAAGGCATACCTTTTCTGTTTTTGTCTGTCTCTTTCCTTTTTTGAAGAAGAACCCAAGTGCTGTCCCTTCTCCAGCTCCTCCCCGGCAGCTTTCAGTACTCTTCCTTGCACAGAGGTTGGCAGCCTGGCAATGAGCGGGGCCACCAGCCACACACCCCTGCGTTCAGAGGAGCTAAAATCAGAAACAGGCGTTATGCCCAACGAGGCACCTTTTTCTCACAGTTATAACAGAAATTCCCATGTAAAAATTTTATACACAAATTCAGAAATTTCCCTTTCATTTCTATGCTATCGCACAGTAAATATCTTCCCAAATACCAGATATTTGCACACTTTTCCACTCGTGCTTATAGAGGGCAATAAAAGACACGGTTCTGGGAGTATAACTAAAAGTTTGTTTAAAAATCTACAAACATACTTTTCTATTATTGTGGCTCTCTGATTAGTAACAGTCCTTTTGTCCAACACTTTTTTGTCCTGGTTAAGATATGAAATGTTCTGGTTACATTTAAGCACACTGATAGCCTGTTTTTAAAGTTTTAGAATTCACTAGTTATACTTTACGCCAAAATGATGAAATACAGCTAATCTGCCTTTCATGATTATCATTTATGCAAAAATGCTCATTTTTAAAGAAGGCAGAAAAAGTGTTTCCTATGTAACAAATACCACGGAAGAGTGAACACTAAAGAAATTAAAGCACCCTGAATGTCACCTGTGGTTCCCAGGAGTCTGGGCCCGATTAACCTAGTATTTAGAACACTAAGATATCATGCAGCCTGTAACATTGCCCTTTAACTTATTATTAAATAATGATAACTGACACAGTTATTACTTTCTTCATATTCCTGCAGCTTTATGAAAAAAGATTTGATTATGCAAATAAAACACAGTTACATGTGAAAAATTAACAAGAGACTACAAGTAATAAAGCCACAGAAAAAACACCTTAGGAATGTCTTTATTCCATTCTGCCTTGTGCTTCCTGCATCGGAGCTTCCCATCCCGTTCGGGTTGAAGAGCCCCGTACCGGAATTGGAAGAGTTGATGCTCATGTCAGCAGACTGCTGGAACACCTCTATGGTCGCCTTAGCAATATTGTCCAGTAAGTTGTTCATTTCAGCCACCGAGCCAGAGCCCTAGTGCCAGACACAAGAAAACTAGCACACATACATTTTACTTAAACCTCAAATGCCAACATGCTTTGCTTTTCATACAATTTTATACACATGCATGCTCTTCAGATATACTCACTGGGTCCTTCAAGCACTGCTTAATCATTAACTGAAGTTCTAGCCAGGACTGCCTCAGTGTCCACTGCTCAAGGTTCTGGGGGAAATGGAAATAACTAAGACATTAAGAACATTACGCATGTCTTAAAACACAGGAATTACTGGCAGTTTCCCTATTTCAAGAAAGAGTAGAATAGTCACACACAAGAAAGGGATCTACAGGCACCACTGCTTTTCAAAAGTTCATGTTAAATGCCCAGCCAGTGTGGCTCAGTGGTTGAGCATTGACCTATGAACCAGGAGGTCAGAGTTCGATTCCCAGTCAGGGCACATGTCTGGGTCTTGGGCTGGATGCCCAGTAGGGGGCATGCAGGAGGCAGCCGATCAATAATTCTCTCTCATCATTGATATTTCTCTCTCTCTCTCTCTCTCTCTCTCTCTCTCTCTCTCTCTCTCTCTCTCTCTCTCTCTCCCCTCTTCCTTCCTCTCTGAAATCAATAAAAATAAAAAATAAAAAAGTTTGTGTTAAGTACTTTACTTTTCCTTTTTTAAATACTTTTATTGATTTTTAACGAGAGAGGAAGGACAAGAGAAAAACAACTATGTGAGAGCAGAACATCAATCTGCTGCCTCATGCACACTCTTTCCCTCTCCACCGGGGATCAAGCTGCAACCTGGGCATGTGCTCTCACTGGGAATCGAACTTTCAGTGCACAGACGATGCTCAACCAACTGAACCACACAGGGCAGGGCAAGCACTTCACTTTTAGGAAAGACCTACATTAGCCTGTTTTTGCTAAGAGAATGAAATCGGAGAGTGCAAAAACAGTGCTGTGCTTGCTGTGCAGTAAGCTGTGATGGAGGCAGTGGGCACCCAGCAGCGAGGGCAGCCCAGGCACCAAACCCCTTCCCTGGGAACCACACGCAGCCTCTCAGCATCCAGCCACCATGGTTTTTAAACCATGCCTGGGAGCATCTGGCTTTATCTCGACTTATTTTGCACATTTGTTAGCAAGATGTGTCTTAAGGCATAAGAAAAGCCTAAGAGAGCCTGTGGGAATGCTACAGTCATTTTTGTTGTTATTACAAAGAATGTGTCAAATCACAGAAACATAATCTTACTGACACTCACCTGAAGAATGCGCTTAATGTGCTGTCTTTGCAGGTTGTCCCCCTCAGTACATTCTTTAATGCCATGAGGATAACAGATGAGCTGCAGTAGTTTCTGTGCTTGCATATTTGAAAGCACAGGGTCCAATATTAGTTCTTTGTCTGTGCACAATCTTTCAGGTTCTTTTAAGCAGTGTTCTCCTACCCATTCCTAAAAATCATACAGCAGTTAGATTGGTAGGCATGGGCTTTCTACATGCCTATGTAATATGTACTAAGTCCATGGCACATAATGGAATATAAAGCAGACAGGAATCTTCCATTTAACAAAATATTACATACACAAAATGGTGGCAAAAGTTTTAAAAACAAACTTTTATAGTATTTTAAATTCTTAAAATACAAAGTGAAACCTTGGATAAAGAAAACTTTAAAAAATAGATGTGCAAAAAAAAAAAAAGGAAAGAAGAAAGCTAAGGAAAATATTGGTATGTGTTTCAATTGGAAAATGGGTTCTTATTCTTGCAACTGTTTTATAATCAATTTTTTTAGCTTGCCATATGTAAGGGCAATGAGTCTATTTATAAGATGTCATTTTTATGAAATGCATTATGCTATGTTCTACTGAATAGAACACAGTATAACACTCAGAAAATTGTCTTCCTGTTTGATATTACAATGTTAGTATTATAAATAAATGTTTGTGCACATCTATTCTCTGTACAATTGATTTCTCAGGATAACTTCATAAAGTGCAATTGCTGGGTTAAGAAGTATAGCAAAAATTTAAGGCTATTGATGTAGATGGCTAATTAACCTGTAGAGAGTTTCTACTAATTTAAACTTTTATCACACTTTCTTTATCAGTTTTTCAAAGGAAACTCTTATTTTAAACTAGAGCCCCGGTGCATGAAACTTGTGCAAGGGGGGTAAGGGGGGAAGGGTGTATGTCCCTTAGCCCGGCCTGCACCCTCTTCAATCTGGGACCCCTCTCACAACTGAGGACTGCTGGCTCCCAACCACTCACCTGCCTGCCTGCCTGATTGCCCCTAACCACTCCCCTGCCAGTCTGGTTGCCCCTAACTGTCCTCCCCTGCTGGCCTGATCACCCACAACTGCCCTCCCCTGCTGGCCATCTTGTGTCCACATGGGGGCGGCCATCTTGTGTTGGAATGATGGTCAATTTGCATATTACTCTTTTATTAGATTGGATTAGATAAGACTTTGTCAACTGTTCCTGAGCCCAATTTGAGCCCAGATCTGTTTAAAATGAAACCTGTTTCTTAACCACTATACCTGTGACTAAACGCTGATTATCCATTAAAATCACCTGAGGATCTTGTTAACAAAGTGTGGGCCCTACATCAAATCAATTAAGTCAATCTTAGGTTGTGGACCAGACAGCAGTCATTTTCTTAAGGCATCAAAAACAATTTTAACTCCTTAGGTACAGTGGGGCCTTGACTTACGAGTTTAATTCGTTCTGAGACCAAGCTCATTAAGGAGCTCATTAAGGAGCTCATTAACTCAAATTACTCTTCCAACTCAATGCAAAAAATCAGCTGAGAGACAGCTGGTATCTCAAAAAAGTCGTTAGTTGGGACACTCGTAAGTCAAGACCCCACTGTAATTCCAATTGCCCTCACAGTATGGAACCAGTGCACAACCCAACAACGTCTTAATCCTATATAATAAAAGGCTAATATGCAGATTGTCCCCTTGACCAGGAGTTCGACCTGGAATTCAACCATGGGGGTGGGGACAGCTGGCCAACCACCCATAGCCCCTCCCCCAGGCCGGCCCTGTCCCCGATTTCCCCCACCACCCCAACTGGGGGTGGGGCCAGCTGGCCAAACTCTGGCGTCCCCTCCCTCCAGCCAGCCCCACCCGATTGGCCTGGGCAGGCTGGCCAGACCCCACTGGTGCACGAATTCATGCACCAGGCCTCTAGTACCTATATAACTATTTAGCTAACTTTTACCATGGTTATAATATGCCTTATAAAAACATGACCCTGTCAACATTTGGAACGTAAAAAAGAGTATATATGGTATGCCTTGATTCTTTTACTAAGAAAGGAGAAATTTTTTTTAAATATATGAAAAGTTAAAGCAGAAGATAATGAAACTGGCGACTTAGGGCAGGGTGAGACAAAGGGTAGCAGGGATTAGGGAGAGAGGACATATCTCTGAGTATACCTTTTGCATAGTTGGCCTGTGGGAGCATGCTATTCTAAAGACAGAGCTGGGTGAGGGGGGTGGGGGTGGACCTACACTGAATGTAAACAAAAACAAATAAAAATCAGTTCTATTTCAAGCAAGAAATATATCCACAGGGAGGGAGAAAGTTCAAATGATTTCTTAACATAATATGGTAAACTCTTAGGGAAGAACTACAAACAAATCTTCAAATCCTTTTAGTAAGCTTGTTTTTCCTAGTAGTATGGGTGTAGCAATTCTGAAACTATTACAGGTATATTGCAGAATAAAGCAAATGAGTAAAGGTTTAATATTATTGGGAGTGGGGTTCATAGTGTGGAAGAAGGCAATATTAATGTGGAATGGGGAAAACAAAGGACTTTGTGGGGTTGGATTGGAAGTAAAGATATCAGTATGAACTCGTGATTTACACACACATTTATGTATATAGATATGTTTTTTCCTTAGCTCTGTCTGCTGAAAAGGCCTAAAACAATGAGCACACACAGTGCCTTGATCTTGGTTTCTAAATACCATCTTGTGCTAAACAGAATCAAGGTTCTTCAGAGGAATGAGTAATTCTAGATCTGGGGCAGGGAAAGTACAAAAGGAGCCAGAAAGTTAAAAAAATAAATAAAAAATAAAGATAAAGACATATCAAAATAACATGAGATCCAGCATGAAAAGAGTCCCATCAGAAAAATCTGGGCAATTTGAACATGAACATAACCAAGGACAGTAAATCATAATCCATACGGAAAATTAGTAAATATAAGTTAAGGGCGGGCTTTTCCTTAGGGAAGAGTGCAAACTGATAATTGGAGAGGAGAGGAGTTTGGAGGAAAATCACCATCTTGCACCCATCACAGTAAAGACTGGTTTGGACAAGAATCAAAATGGATGCAACATGGGAGGTGAGAGAATTTGATGAGAATATTTGCATTGTCTTAAAGTGTCTCTCCAAAGACTGCTTATTAATTACAAGGAAAAAAAAATAATTATCCAGTAGAGAAATTTTGAAATCATACAATGGAGACATCTTGATACGGTTAACATCACCAATGAGATGCCAGTGGACATCATGGGCCGTCCGATGTGAGTACCTGAGAAGAACCCAGCATTACCGCTGCAGTGTCTAGCTAGGAATGCATAATCTGAAGCTAATCTACAGGAAACTTCACACAAATCCAACATAGTTGGAACAACTGACAAAATTAGAATGAGGTCTATAGGTGAAAAAAATTTACTGTACTAATGCTAAATTTCCTGAGTTTTTTTTAACTGTATTTTGTTCATGTTAACAAACACTAAAGTATTCAAAAGTAAAAAAGAATAATGTATGCCAACTACTCTCAAATGGCTCAGAAAAATTTTTTTTTAAGTATATGCATCCATACTGACACACACAAATAGAATTATAAAGCAATGTGGCAAAATTTAAAAAGTTAGTGAATCTGTATAAAGGATATACTAGAGTTCTCTATTATTATTGCAACTTTTCAGCAAATTTGAAATTATGTCAAAACAAAGCAGGATAAAAAGGACCATCTATGTACACGTTTTGTACAATAGTGAGATTCTTTCGAAAATAACAGTTACATATTCAAAGTTAAAGGCCAATTAAATTTGAAGATACCTGTTGACAAATAGTTCTCAGTACATATCTAGCATATTCTTTTAAGTTGGCAGTTTCTATGGAAATGCTTCTCCCGCATGATTTTGCAGTTTGTGAGGCAGTCCAGATATCATCAGCATTCCCATCACGTCGCAAACCCCTCATGGTGAAGTCATCATTCTTTAGAGAGCTGACACTGTTATTGCCAATTTTGGCATCGCCTAAATAACAGAATCACAAACCCAAAATCACACACATTCAAAATATTGCCAATTATTTGAGTAGTAAATGAAACAAGCTTTCAGGAATTTAAAGTATGTGAATGGAATCATTGTATAGCTGTGCAGCAATGAAGAGAATGGATCAAGAGAATAAATGCAAGAATCCAGGGAAGTTTCATCAGATATGGAAAAAAAATAAGTTCAAGACTCAATCCTTACTTTGTTTATAGAATTATGTATGCTTTCACCAAACTTGGAAAGGCCATTTTGAATCACACTTAATAATCAGAGAACACTGATTTCACCAATATCTCAAGCATCAATGTATTCAAATTCATTTGACTTATAGACAAGGAAAAGAAGGGTTACTCACCCTGCTAGATGTCCCTTTTTCATTTCTTCTCTTACAATGACTTATTTTCTATCCATAGGTCAAGAGAAAAGTTTTGCCTTAGCCCACCTTACTATCAACTTCTTGACAAGAGAGATTTATTTCCCTGGGAATGGAAAAGGGCAATGCATACTAAGGAAGCCCTGGAAAATGGGGCATTCATTGAATAACCCGTGTCTTTCGTTTTCCTTTCTGTAAACACCAACTTACAAAGAAAACGTCATTCTCACCAATCTCTAATATATTCAACTAAAATGAAGCTAAGGAAAGTGTTTTTCTTATTTAAAAAAAGTTCTGGGGGAAACACTGAGCAGAACGATTGAATATCTATCAGTGGTCGGCAAACTGCGGCTCGCGAGCCACACACGGCTCTTTGGCCCCTTGAGTGTGGCTCTTCCACAAAATACCACGTGCAGGCGGGCACGTACAGTGCGATTGAAACTTCGTGGCCCATGCGCAGAAGTCGGTATTTTGTGGAAGAGCCACACTCAAGGGGCCAAAGAGCCGCATGTGGCTCGCGAGCCACAGTTTGCTGACCACTGATCTAGATATAAGAAATCTTCTCTAGCTGCGAAAGACAAAGAACTGTCATATTTTGAAGGTGAAAAAATAAAATAACTTGGTAATAAACCTTGCCAAAGGACAACAGAGCCTCCAAACTTTTGCCTGTTTACCCACAGGATCATAAGCCTTCAGAGAAAAAAATTCCTGGAACCAACAAATGAGTTTACAGGAGGCCCTCAGAGCAAAACCACACCCAGGTCAGTGCAAAAAGTCTTTTAAAGCCTACAAGTCAACTAGGAAAAAGTTTTGACTCTGATGAAAAAATATGAAAAATCAGAATTGTTTATTGAATATTTACTTATAAAATCATTAAAAGGAAGGGAGGAATAAAAATACACTTCAACTCAGCAATATCTTCATTTTTATTATCAAACATTTCTCATTAAAATATATGGGCAAATATTAACAATTTCACTTTACCCATAGGAATTTATTTAATTCAACAGAGTTCTTTAGGAGTTGCGAGAAAGACCAGATTCTGTATGTATCAAAATTTAGCATACTTTTTAGTGATATAAACAACTATTTTTACACCTTAAGTTAAACTGCTATAGACATTAGAAACCAAATTCTATATAACAGTTCTATTTCCCTAACTCAACATCAGTCCTGATGGATAGGACTTGAGAGAACATTGGTTAGAACATGTGAGATAGGTAAGTTAAAATTTCTGCAAAAACAAAGAAACAAACATATCTGCTAGTCCCAGACTAGGAGATCCTCAAATCAGTATAGATGTTAGGATGACCTGGAGGTTGTACTAGAACCTTCTACAATCATATAGACAATAGAACATTAGAATGGTGTTCAGTAACAGCGAGGCCCCAGGCTCTGCTGGCATTCAACTGGCCTAATCCTGACTTGGGAAGCAATGCTTAGAAAGCTGTAGATTCCTCCAAGAACTGAAGCCAATGAAAAAGCTCAAGGAGCCCAGCTGGGGTGGATCAGTGGTTGAGCGTCAACCTATGAACCACGAGGTCACAGTTTGATTTGAGCTTGAACCACAGTACGGGGAGGGCAGGAGGCAGCCAATTGGTGATTCTCTCTCGTCATTGCTGTTTCTATCTCTCTCTCCCTCTCCTTTCCTCTCTCTGAAATCAATAAAAACATATCTTTAAAAATAAAATAAATTAAAATAAAAAGGTCAAGGAGAGGCAGTCAAAGAAAAGTGAATTGATGATTATACATGGATAGTAAACTATGGTTATTTGGATATTTAAAAAGGTTGGCCAATTTTACTTGGGATCAAACTAGTCCTTCAAACCAAAGGGACAATATCTAAATTGCACTCATCTTGGTTTCTGCCATTAAAATGTCTATCACTTAATGCAGTCACACTTCCAAAATTAGTTTATGGGAAATCTTCTATTTAGTTTCTCTGATGAACATTAGCTACCACAGTAAAAAGGTGAATCCCTAAATTCATGGTTATGTTTATGTTTGTTACCATAAACAAAATACAGTTAACAATGGTCTCTACCTTTACTATTAAACGGAACTAACCAGCCATCTTTCCTTTCAAATGTACAGAAATTTTATTACTGAGATGATCATTTAATGTTGGGTATACACAAGCTCCTGAGCTCAGAGGAAGGCTGTAGCCCTCCATGTGACTTTACCATTTTCTTTTTACTTCAAAATTCCTGGGTGTAATAGGAGCATCATGTATGTGTGTATGTATACATATATACACATGTATGTATATGTATATATGTATGTTATATGTGTATGCTTATTTTTAGATGCACATTTAATAATTTGCATGTATGTATATATGCATGCATGTATGTATGTGTATATGTAGGTATTTTTAGATGCACTTTTAAAAATATATATATTTCTTTATTGATTTCAGAGAAGGAGAAGGAAAGAGAGATAGAAACATCAATGATGAGACAGAATCATTGATCGGCTGCCACCTGCACGCCCCCTACTGGGGACCGAGCCCACAACCCAGGCATGTGCCCTTGGCCGGAATCAAACCTGGGACCCTTCAGTCCATAGGCTGATGCTCTATCTACTGAGCCAAACCAGCTAGGGCTAGATGCACTTTTAATAATCTGTTTTATGAAAGCCCTGTTTTCCATCCTTGTCATCATCAAATAACACTTTCCAAGATGAAGTATAAAGGGATAGGCTTTATCCTCAAACATGCTCTTTAAGACTCATCAAAGACCATTCTCATCCGTGCAGTAACTTCTGTTCTAATGAAAGGGGGCTCCTTCAGAGCATAAGAGATAACATTTGTTTAGTGAAGGCCAAAAGAGGGCACCCAAAGTTGGAATGAGATAGTGTGATTCAAGTCTTCCCAATCATTCTCCTAATTTACAGAATAAAAATGTCTTAAAGCGTTGCACTACAGATGAACAGAAAAGGCAGTGCTACTACTCCAGGAGGATGTATATACCAATAAAAATATAAAAGACATCTTGGTCATTATAAATTATATAAAATTATGCTATGTAATACTGATTTATCAGTAATATCAATCTCAATGCAATTATCACCTGATTGACGAAAAAACTAGGGTACAGGGTTATAAACTTGTTCAGGGTCACAGTGGAAGCAGAAACACTATGACTGACACCCAGGTTTTCTGGTGATTTACTCCGAGAATATAACATGGGATTTAAACCTTTGACTAGGTCATCAAGTTTTCTGTGTCCATCACAAAGTGTGACTGATGCCAACAAATGAAGGCAACACAAGCTAGGAGGTCTGAGGATCTGTATTACATCAGAATGAGAGAGCACGCAGTTAAAACCCCACCAAAAAATATATATTTAAATTCCACCAGTGTTGTAGGTAAGGGACAGACTTCTTGGAGTACAACTGAACTTGGACTTGGGGAAAGCCAACAACAACAGCAACAACAACAACAACAACAACAACAACAGCAAAATATTTCTATTAATATTAAATCGAATTAAACTTCTGGCGATTAACCAAGCTTATTGCCAAGATAGTCTTACCAAGCATCATAATTGCTTTTAAAACAGCAAACACTGCTCCCACTTCGATGCTGTTGTGAGCAGCAGCTAAAAGGTGTCTATCACAAGATGATCTTATTCCAGGGAAAGTTTTGCCTATGAGAACAAAGAACAAGCCTTTCATCGTCTCATCACCGTTATTAACAGTGTTTTGTAACCATTTACAGTCGTAGGGTTTTCATTGTTAGATTGCGGGTGCTTAATTGCCATTAGCTAGCTTTAATTGATGCTTCATGAATTCACTAAAAAACGTTGCCAGCACCCTGTACTTAACCATTTCTTTTTTTACTATTAAAATAATGTCTTTGCTCCTTAGAGAGATGTGTCAAAAACATTAGGATTTTCATCCATTTATGTTGATGGTCTCTCTTTTCTCTCTCTCTCTCTCTCTCTACACACACACACACACACACACACACACACACACACACACACACACACAAACCCTAACATGGAAATTATCTTTAGGAACAGATTTCACCAGCATCCCTAGATGTTTTCCCTTTAGTAAAAACATAAATGAATCACTGCCCTAAGCTGCTATGCTGTGGTTCACAACTAACATGCATAGTATGTTAGAGGATCACGCTGCCCACCAGCACGGCTGGCCTAAGAGCAAAAGTATTTTTATTGTTTATTAACTCTGGATTTGAGTTTCTCAACACATCCTGATATTACATAAATGAAAGGTGTTGACAGCCCTCTCAGTGGAATCATTGCACCCCTTCATCACCCTCAAGCAGGCCCCCCAAAGTCAGGAAGGAAATTACAGAATAAACAACCTACTTGGTCATTTGAGAACCTGGAGCTGCAAATGAAAACATAATCAGAGGTTTGAGGCTATCAGCTCACCGGCTGCTTGAGGTAATAAGCAGGCCTGGGGGGCTCGGAAGAGATGGAGCAGGAGGCGGCAGGTCATCCTGGCCCCGGGCTCAGCATCCGCGTCTCCACAAGCTGGGGAAGAAGGATTTCCAAAGCAAGTTTCCTCACATGTTCAAGAACATGTCTCCAGGCTTGCTATTTAGCTAAACTTTCTGGAATAATGTGAAAACATGCTACTTATGGTAAAAAGTAAGACACCAGCTACACTTTCCTGAGAAACTCGAATGTACGTACTTCCTCAAAACTAGGTACCAACATCCAGGGAGTCACAGTGCTCTGGGTAGAACAAGATATACAATTCTACCATCTTTACCTGCAGGCCACACCACGGCCCAACGCATGTGCCCCTGAATACTACCCTCACTGGGTTTCACTAGTTAGACACCATCCCACCAAGACCAGCATCACAAGCCCACGGCTGTCCCGGATGCCACCTCACCTGCCGCGAGGAGAGAGGGCAGTGCCACGTGCTGCACGACGTCCTCCAAGGAGAAACACTGTCGTGCTATCAGAATAGCAATGAAAGTAGCTAGTGAATCATGGAATGAAAGGTCACTCACCTTCAAGAAAAATATTGACACGTTTTAATACCTAACACCCTTTCAGTAACAGCTAAGATTAATATCTAAGAGAATGTAGGCAACACCAATGAGGTTTCAGATCCCCAAATGAGTGAATGAAACTTAGCATGAGTATTCTCTAGGCCTATTTCTACTTTATAAGACAACAAATGAGATTTACCCACATCCCAGTGCTGTAAGAAGATACTGGGCTTCATCTTGAGTACAAATAATTGGGGGGGGGGGGGGAAACCAACAATAAGAAAAAAAAAATCAAGAAATCCCTAAAAGATGTAGCAAAAATACAACTTTTCTGCAAAATTCAGTAGGATCTGTCATTTAAGGGTAGCCATTAATAAGCAAGGAAAAACCTGTAGGTTGCCCTAGTTAAAACACAAGCCTCAGTAATGGTTTGGGGTTCTATTCAGAGATGACAAAGTAATGAGTCTTTAATATAAGTAAATTAGTTTTAAAAATAACTCTGAAAATTTACAATTGACTCCTAAATTTTCAAAGGAGAGGAAAGAGGAAGAAAAGTTATTTCATTCATAATATAACCTCTACCTTTACAGATTTCACAAGACTTTGGCAGAAAATAATAATAACAATTTAAAAAGCTGTAATAGCAACCTTAGTAGTAAGTTGTAGTATATGCCAGGGAGTGTGGGTAGCAATCTACAAAAAGTCACCTCATTTAACTGCACAACACCATGAGGTTTATACTACTGTTAATTCCAATTTTATAGATGAGTGAACTAACCAGAGGTAAAGTATAACAAAAACAACTAAGAGGTTAAGGAACAATGTTAAAGATAAAAATATGTGTCTTTCCTGTCTAGAAAAGCAGGCCACAGGTAGGAGTTTGGCATGCCTAAAATCTTAGTGAGACACAGAGTGGAGTAGGACTGTCCAACCCAGACTTGAGATATCAGAACTAGGAAGTTCAACTTCAACTGGGAGGTATTTTTTAAAATGTATAAAATTGTTCTATATGTACGATATGTTAACATACAAAAGATCACACCAAGAAGTGATAGGCAAAAATAGATAAAGAATCAAGATGGATTTTTAAGAAATTCACATATCATGCATATAATATTCTAGGAAATCTGTGATATAAATGGGTATATTTTCATCACTTCCAGACACAATCACTAAGAAAGACTGGATGCCCCAATGAATCTGAGCCTGGACATTCTCATGCAACACAGCACCAACCACACTCTGGTATACTGCTTAAAGTGAGAAAAGGAAAAAAAAATTTACATTTCAGTTAAGGGTTGAGTCAATTAAAAAATGTTGCTCACTAACTAAATATTTAATTACAGTTGAGTTTTTAAGTGAAAAAGAACACTTACATCTACTGTGCAAAGTACATCATTGAACCCCCACACGTGATTGGAAGAACAGCAGAGAGCCTTCAGAACTCCCAGCCACTCTGAACTAAGAACAGTGCAGCATGCTGTCAGCTCGGAGGAGAAATTGGCTATGTCATTAATCCTAGAAAGAAGAAAAAGAACAGACACAGTATAAAGTAACAAAAAAGAAATACTGCATGTGACATACTTAAGAACACATATTTCACTACCATAAACAAGTCATTCATTTCTTATAGTCAAGGATATAATAAATATCCACTTGACAAATAACCTAGTAGAACCTGGAGAAGATAAAAGTGAATGGCTTGAAATGTTTTCTGTTTCTAATGCTGGTAAACAACGAACAATACCCATTACAGATGTCAATTACTCTGTGAAAAAACTTAACCTATACAATGACTTTTTAAGAACATAAATTTTTTTTTCTTTTAGAAACTATGTAATTTAGGTAGCCTAAGTACAGTATTTTAAAAATATAGACAATTTTTATTTGTATTTTTCTTGTATATGTTTTTGTCTCTTGGGTTAAGGAAACTATAGTACAGAGCAGATAAAATAATATACAAAAAAAAAAAAAGAAAACAACATTCAACTGTCAGCCTAGGCAATTACTAAGGAAGTTAATTTCAAAGTAGCACCAAAGCAACAACTGTGGTTAGTCACAAAATTCAGGGCAACTCAGCTCACCTTCCAGCGTCCTGATGGCCCATACATACATTCATGAGTGTATTGCAGACGAAGCTGTAGCGATTGGCCGCATTGTCACTGAGGATCTTGCCTAGCATAGAGTAGTTGATACTACAAGCTGAAGGATTCTCAATAAAATCCATCATGAAGTCCGGATCCCATCGCAAGTTAGAATTAGCAGGTATCACATTATTATATATGGTCTGCTTAACTTTTGAACAGGCACTACTGAGGTTACAAGAAGAGTTAAGAAAAAAAAAACTAGAATAACTAGAAAGTTAGTTAATTTAAGGACAGATTAAATGGTAGCAACTGTAATGTATTCTTATAAAAGAGTCACATTGAGTTCTTGATTCCAATTTCCTAATAATCAGCACTGAACACAGTGCCTGGAATGTATTCGTTGGTCAATAAATAGTTGCTGAATGGGTTGTGAAGAACAAAACAAGAATAAGAACTTGGTTACTAATCTTAATTATTTTCTAATTTTTTTCTACATTTTATATGTTTCAAAAATAAAAGAATTTACTAAGGCTTTCAACAACTATCTCTAAACAGTAGTTGCAAAGTGTTATTACTTAGGAATAAAAATAGGTTAGACTAAACATCAGGAATAATTCAGGGCTTAGTAGTAATTACATATCCTGCAAAACTATTCCTCTAGGTACAGGGTATCCAGCAGAGGTCAAGTGGTCAGAGCTGTGAAAGAGAGGCTCATTCCCTGCCCTCCAGGAGCTTGCATTCCAGTTGGGGGAAACGGATGATACACAAATTAAATAAGAGTGAATAAACTATTATTCCTAAAAGTTTATCATGTTCTGTCTTGTAGCAGGATTAAGAGATTTTTAAGAGGCTGGCTTATCATGAAAACCAAGTATGTTTCAGTGAGTTATATCTGAATATGACATAGAATGTTAGAAGTACAAAGGGAATTAGAAAGTATCTGTTCCAGTCTGGCTCTGCAGATGGAGCTGAGGGACAATCTGATTTCAAAGCTCAGATCCCATGTATACTCAGCTATTCCTTCCTATTGCTGTGGACATGAGTTCATAAGCAGCATCCACCTCTATTCAAGAGCCCTCTTATGCAGCAGAGAATCTTTTTCTTTTAGATTAACTTTTTGGCAGCAAATTTACTTGTGATGAAGGCAACATGTGGCTTTTTACCCCTAGTGTTATACACCTACATAAATAGTACCCAGAAATGATTGCTTTAACAATGAAAAGGCTTATAAATAACACTCTTTACCCTAAACTGTTGCCACTGCCAACTGCTTTAAGAAACAGAGATTGTTCAATTTGTGGTTTACCAAAACCTCCTCCTTCAGAATCACCTCTGTAGGTTTACTGAATCTGTATGTTTAAAATACTGTTCGAGGTAAATCCAAGTGCCAAAAGTGCTTGGGAAGCACTGGTCCATTAGAGAGGACTAAACCTACCCACTAAATGGCAGTAATTGTAATCTACACTATCTTTCTTTCCAGGTAACTTATGTAAAAACTCAGTGGTCACTGAAGGATGCACATTTACCATCTAGAGTTATGACCTGCTCAAAATGATGGATGCTATATAGTCTTCAAGGCTTTTAAAATCTCCAGTTTCTGACTTAACAACTCTTGCCAACTTTCTACTTAACTTTTCTTTCATTCTCACTTAGCAATAGTTCCTAATTCATTTCATTTTCCCACTAGAGATGAAACAAAATCAAACTTTGCTCGTTGCTGATTCCCTCCCTAACACCACATCCATGGTTTCCTCCACCTCCCAATTCACTGAGTGTTGGAGGAAACAGTCTTCTGCAAGTAGTGAAGCATTGTCTATTTTATTCAGCCTCCCACTTAATTCTAACATGCTATTCATTCCTGCCTTTAAAAACAAAAGAATTCTGCCGACCTCCAGCCAGGAATGCTCACTTTTTCTGAACTCTATGGCTCATGGGAAAGTCTCCTTGCCTTTCATTTCTAGGCTTCCTATTTCACTTATTAGACTCTTTCCAGGTGAGCGTCTATGTTTTATTAAAAAGTCAGCTGCTACCTCGGTCACTCTCAGATTCTTACCACTCTCTGTGCAGGCATATATGGGTTTAAGGAAATAACCTAGGTATTTCCCTTCTGAAATTGCCTGTATCAAAAAACCCGATAGACTCCGATAGAGTGATGAAAGCAACACACACCTGAAGGCCAAAATTACTTATGTTCAAGTCTAAGTTTCATCATTTATTAATTAGGATGAGGAACAATCATTTGGTGATAGAAAACATCATTTCTACTTCCTGGGGTTGTTGAGTGGAGCAAGGATCTTGATGGAAATAGCCCAGTGCCGTGCTTGGCACAAGCAGCAGCTCAATCAGTGGTCGGTGTGAATATGTCCCCCAAATATTCCTCTTCCACAACTTTATAGATGGTGCTTCAGATCAAATTATTAAAACTGGTTTATTAGTATATTAACAGAAATCTCTCTGCATATCTAGCTTTTGTTGGGCCATATTTCTTAATCCCAAACTGCAAATAATCTCTGACTTCCAGGTTTCCTGGGACAGCTGTTTCTCTGCCACTTCTTAATCAAGGGAACCTCAGCCAGTGTCACAGCTGTGGGGCACCCCTGTGCTGATCCCCAGCAGCCCTCAGTGCAAGCTGGTCTCCTGATCTCCACGCACCCAGGTTACAAGACTGGAATGAACTCATTTACACTGCCCAGCAGGAGCGTTAGGGCTCCTGGAGCTTTCTTGGAAGTTCACTATTAAGAACAGGGCTGTTGCCTAAAGTGAATCACGTATGAGAAAGCTCTCTAAAAACTGTCAACTGAAAGCTCTGTGTGAAAAAGCAGCAGGATACAGGTTATTACTGCTCTTACATAATTTCTGTGAAAAGATGTTTCATAAGATTCACTCAAACAGCATCCCTGTAAGGGATTATTTTGAAACCTAACCATTCATGGAGACATACTTTCACATTTTTCCCTATTGATACCATGAAAAGTTTCATGATATTTTTGTATATATCTTTTATTTAACAGACATTTTTTAAGTGCTTCCTATGTGCCAGACACTCTTCCAGGTACTGGGGCATAGCAGCGAATAAAACAGAAAAAGTTTCTACTGTTGGTAAGCTTACATTCTAGGAAGGAGAGAGATGATAAATAAATATGCAATGTGCCAGGGTTAGTGCTAAGGTCAAAGAATGACAGTGTAGGCAGAGGGGTATGCTATTTAAAATGCAGTGGTTGGGCCCTACTTGGTTTGGCTCAGTGGATAGAACGTTGGCCTGACCTGAAGGGTCCCAGGTTTGATTCCGGTTAAGGACACATGCCCAGATTGCAGGCTTGATCCCCAGTTGGGGGCGTGCAGGAGGCAGCCAATCAATGATTCTCTCTCATCATTGATATTTCTCTCTCCCTCTCCCTTCCTCTCTGAAATCAATAAAAATATATTTTAAAACAAGCAAACAAACAAATAAATAAATAAACAGGGTGGTTGGGAGGAAAGCCGTGAATGAATTGTGGACGTGAGCATGCAAGTAGCTAGGGAAAACACAAGAGAGGTAATAGCAAGTGCAAATGCCCTACAATGCTTGCTCAGAGTGTCTGAAGACCAGGAAGGAGGTGCACATAGTTAGAATGGAACAAGGGAGAAAAGGCTGAAGAGAAAATCAGATCCAGTAGGTCCTAAAGGCTAGGTAATGACTTCAGAGGTTTTTATTCTGAATAGATGAGAAGCCATTGGAAAACTTTATTGTTCTTGTTTTAAAAGGATGATTTTAGTAGATGTGTTGATAATATGTTCAAGAGAGTCAAAGAGGCAAGCGGGGAAACCAGTGAGAAGAGCTACACAATGGTCTAACCAGGAGATGACCATGGTGGTCGTGACAGAGCAATGAAGAGTAGTCAGATTCTCGGTACTATACTTGGAAGGTAGAGCTAGCTCATAGGATTTACAAACAAATGGGTGTAAAATATGGAGCAGAGAAAACCGTAACTGATTGTGCTTTCCTTACCTCCTTCTAGATTCTAAATTTATTTTGCCAGTTATGACTGTCTCCGATAATTAATAATCTGAGTTTCCTCAAAATAACATTAAATAAGTATGTATTTTCCAACATCTGTGTACCTGTGGTGGTAGCAAGTGCTAAGATGCAGAGAATGAAAGGGAGTCAGGGATGCTGTTTCAAACAGGATGATAACAGAAGCAGAGAAACAAAGTGAGAAAGTGAGTGCACACAAAAGTGGGAAACAAGTGCAAAATATAAAATATTGTATCACAACTTTATCTCAAAATCGCAATCACAGTTAAACACGCATTTGTAATAAGGTTATAGATACAATGAAAGGTAGCTCAATATGAATTCTGGCAGATATAATTATGACTAACTTTCACTATTAAAAAGAATGACAATATTGGTCTAGTCACTAATAAACAGAGATATAACCCTACCCCTATTCTTTTGATTTTCTTCTACCCACCTGAAGAGGTCTCCAAATTTACTTCTGAGGTGGCTACATGACACGTAGAGATCATAGAGGTAGGCTAAGATGCATCTCTCAGGAGAAGAGCACTCTGAGGGGTTCACAACATGCTTTACCACACTACACAGCCTGAGGAGACAGCATGCGAGGAGTGAGATATACATGTTGCTAATACATAAGCTACTGTTTAAATCTTTTAGAGAATATGTCCATTTATTACTTGTATAAAAAAGTATTAGACTGTTGACACTAATCATTATAACAGTAGTAAATAATTAAGAAAAATATCAGTTTATTATAATATTAAAATACTAGATATTTTTTTAGAAAACTTCAAAAATGGCATTAACAAGAAAAATAGAAATTCCTCCATACAGAAAGTATATATGAATGAATCCATCAATTAAGTTGCTGTGACTAGAACATAAAGGAATGTTAAAGTAGAGAATCTCTCCTCAGCAAAAAGATTCACTAATTCAGTGAATTTTCAAAGATCCCCAAATCTACTTCTTTGTTAGGGAACAATTCTTAATCAGTAAATCTGGGAAATCCATTTTTAAACCTTGAGCTGGTGCTCACATGAACCTGGTGAATTCACAGTTAGAGGTCACATTTCCCTTGTTTCTCCAAACTAGAAACAAATTTACATTAGTTTATCTCATATAAGAACCAAATCCCCTTCCCCTTAGAAACATTCCCTGAAGTCTTTCAGTTCAAAGTACCATTGCTGCTGCAATCTGTGCCATTTCCCCAAATCCTAACTATGGCCTCTTTCACCCCAGTTCATACAACACAAAAGGTTATACAACACAGAGATAAAAAAGTGGTCCAGCCCCCTCTTTGTGAATCTGATGCCACCCCCACCTTGTATTCTGTTAAAGGGTTCAGCCTATGATAGTGTGATGGTTCAGATTATTAAAGCTCAAATGGGCTTTAGAAATGAACTGACTCATCTTCCTCATTTTACAAAGAGGGCTCTAAGGCTCAGAAAAGTAAAGTCACCTGCACATAGGCTAAGAGCAAGTTCACAGCAGATCCAAGAGAGCTTAGGTCTCCATATTCCCAAGCCACAGTTCACTCCACTATTTAGGGAACAGGGTGAAGCCAGAGGGAGCCTAGGATACTTAGGCCAAGAAGGAATCACAAATACCAGATGTGGAACTCAGGAAAGTACAAGAGGAAATGGCAATATAGCATTCCAAACAATATGAAATGGCATCAGCAAACGGGGCCAGTGGGCAGCAGATATAAGCTGTCAATTATAGCAAAAGAGTCACATAATTATGAAAAACAGATTCAATCAACAGTTAACTATATAAACAAAAAATTCCAAATATAACCTAAAAAGCAAAGAATTATTTTGTAAATAAACATTTATTGGGAGTATAACAGTCAATGTTTGTAATCAATGTTTTCCTCATTTTTTTTTTCACTTGCCATTGGAAAGAAAAACATTTTACACTGAGATCCAGTATATCCATTCATATAAGTACAGAAAAACAAAATAACAATTTTGGGTAAAATACCCTTACTATGTACGATAAAGTAAAAATATAATAAAGTTAATATTAAATATGATTTTATGAACATTTTATAAAATAAATTTAAAATGTCAAAATAAATACTGAAATGAATTTCAAAATAAACAAAAATAAAAAATATGCTTGTCAAAAATCTATTATATTCATTTAATGACCAACTAATGGTTTTCGTGCAGTTGAACAAGCATGGTGTAGATTAGACAGCAGGAGTGAGCTCCTAGTTAGAAAGACTTTCAGCAGCCTGGGAGATGTAGTGATGTGATGCTGGGTATACCCCGTCGCCAACCACTTCCTTTAACAAGCCTGAGTTTCAGTCTCTTCCCTTGTAAAGTGGTATTAATTATTCAACTTCACAGGGTAGTTGAGGGCCATATTAAACAGTTCTATATTTCCTGAATTCTAACATGTTAATTTTTTCACATGTGAAACTATCTTGGATATTTCAGATTTCACTTAATAATCTTCATGCATAATTAATGTGATAGCACTTCCTTTTCCCTGAAAGAGCTGCTGTTAAATGGATGTTACTCTTGAATAGAGTATAAATTGATTACATGTATTAGATCACAAAAAAAGAGTACTATAGAACCAAAGACCTCCATGTTTCTTTTGAACCCAGGAGGAAAATGGAAGAAAAAGAAAAACAGGTTGGTTTTTTTTATATAAAAGCCTGGGAAAGGAGTGAGTCTTCGGTGGACAAAAAGGAGCACAGTATAGGGTTTTTTGAGAGCTAATTATTCTACCCATGTCCCTGTAACTTCAGTCTCTAATGGGGATGGTATTAGGTAATTATTAACCCACTAGTAGTAGTAGAGAAAACCTCATACTACAATTCACACAAACCAAAAAAGACTAAGAATCAAGGAAGTCACTGTTTCGATTATCTTATCAAAAGATAGGTTTAGTTTATTTAAAACAATGAAGTTAAAGAAGTAAATCTCTAAAATGACAATGCATGCAAAGCTTATTCAGTGTTGGATTCTCCAAATATAAACTGAAATTACATGAACAAAACAGTTGTCACATGTGTGCCATTCATAATTACCCACGATACTGGTAGGGCAGATGACAGAGTGTTATAAATGACAGGCTTGTATTCGTAGAAACCAGGGGGAGGGAAGTAAGGCAGGATGGTAAAGAGAAAGGAAAAGAGAAAGGGAGAAAGGAATCACACATTTAAAAAAAAAGAAAATACTTTTTCATTCTTATAACTCTTCTTTGGTACATGTTTTCTTACAAAAGTATTCTTTAACTATGTTATATCTCTTTATTGAAATAAATATCAATACTATTTTTCTCTACTATACTATATTATCCTATATAATAAAAGGCTGATATGCAAATCGACTGAACAGCAAATGACTGGTCGCTATGACACACACTGACCACCAGGGGGCAAGACACTCAATGCAGGAGTTGCCCCCTGGTGGTCAGTGTGCTCTCCTTGTGGGAGTGCACCAGAAGCCGGGCTGATGGCTGGCTAGCACAGTGGCAGTGGCAGGAGCCTCTCTCGCCTCCACTGCAGCACTAAGGATGTCTGACTGATGGCTTAGTCCTGCTCTCCATGGGGAGCAGGCCTAAGTTGTCAGGCATCCTCTGAGGGCTTCTGGACTGCGAAAGGGCACAGGCGGGACTGAGGAATCCCGCCCTCGCCACCCCCCCACCCATGTACGACATCCACCCAGTGTACATATGTTCTGCACCGGGCCTCTAGTAATATTATAATACTATTAGAGGCCCAGTGCACAAGACTTTGTGCACTCAATGGGCGGGGGGGGTCCCTCAGCCCAGCCTGTGCCCTGTCACAGTCTGGGACTCCTCAGGGGATGACCACCTGCTGGCTTAGGCCCACTCCCCAGGGGATTGGGCCTAAGATGGCAGTCAGACATCCCTCTGGCAGCACGGGAGCCCTCGGGGGATGGCCATTTGCAAGGGGGGAGCAGGCCTAACCTGCAGTTAGACATCCTTAGCGTTGCTGAGGAGGCGGGAGAGGCTCCCACCACCACCGCTGTACTGGCAGCCATAAGCCTGGCTTGTGGCTGAGCAGAGCTCCCCTGTGGGAGAGCACTGACCACCAGGGGGCAGCTCCTGCATTGACCGTTTCCCCCATGGTGGTCAGTGTGTGTCATAGTGACCAGTCATTCCCAGTCGTTCTGCTGTTAGGGTCAGTTTGCATATTACCCTTTTATTATATAGGATAGAGGCCTGGTGCATGAGTGGGGGCAGGCTGGTTTGCCCTGAAGGGTGTCCCAGATCAGGGTGGGGGTCCCACTGGGATGCCTGGCCAGCCTGGGTGAGGGGCTGATAGCTGTTTGCAGGCTGGTCACACCCCCTTCAGGGTGGGGGTCTCCACTGGGGTGCCTGGCCAGCCTGGGTGAGGGGCTGATGGCTGTTTGCAGGCTGGTCACACCCCCTTCAGCGTGGGGGTCCCCAGTATGGTGCCTGGCCAGCCTGGGTAAGGGGCTGATGGCTGTTTACAGGCTGGCCACACCCCCTTTAGGGTGGGGGGGTTCCCACTGGGTTGCCTGCCAGTCTGGGTGAGGGGCTGAGGGCCGTTTTCAGGCTGGCCAAGCTTCCCAGCGATGGAAGCTCCCAGCCTCTTCTTTTTTTCTTTTCTTTTTTTATTCTGGGATTTATTTACCTTCTATAATTGAAACTTTGAAGCCTTGAGTGGAGCTCAGAGCCGGCCAGGGAGGGTGGGAAGCTTGGCTTCCTCCATTGCCAGGGGCAACCCAAGCCTCCTGCTCACTCCAGCTCTGTGGCCACGGCCAGCTGAAAGCAGGTATCTGGGGTTAATTTATCTTCTATAATTGAAACTTTGTTGCCTTGAGTGGAGCTCAGAGCCAGCTGTGGCAGGCAGGAAGCTTGGCTTCATCCATCACTGGAGCAAGCAAGCCTCCTACTCGCTCCAGCTCTGTGGCTGCTGGCCGCCATCTTGGTTGGGTTAATTTGCATATAGTCGCTCTGATTGGCTGGTGGGTGTGGCTTAAGATGTAGCGAAGGTATGGTCAATTTGCATGTTTGTCTTTCATTAGATTAGATAATATTATAATACTATAATATTTCATCACAATTATACATTATATGGTGTGAAACAGTAATGATACTTAATATACCAACCCTTCAAACACCTGTGCTGTTTGCTCGGGATTCAGGATCAGACAGCTGTGGTAGCGCCTGAGAATAGCCACGATGCAGACACAGAGGCCCGTGGTATAGCTGCCTGCGAGGCTGGAGGATTTCAGGAGCAGTTCGGCTTCCACAACACTCAGTTCATTTAGTAACTACAATGAGAGAAAAGATCAGATGAAAACGTAGCTGCAAAGCACATAGGTAAGCATTTATTTTTAAAAACCATGCATGTATTGAGTCATTCTAGTAATACTTTTATCTCACCCCTTATCCTGCCCCAGGGCCATATACATATACATAACCTGTCTCAGAAAACACACCCAGTGAATTACAATGATTTTCATTTTTTATCCTTTACCAAATTATGGAGTTTTTCTTTTATGTAGACACCAAGGTACATGCAGTTAGAAAGTATCCAATACTAAAGTAGTTACCAACACTTTATGGCAGCACAAAGCTAAAGCTCTAGACGGAATAATTTCAGAGAACATTCCACCTCTTTTTTCTCCTTTCCCCCTTCTTTTTAATAAAACAAACAGAGATTATTAAGAGAATAAGCAATAGAAACCAACTTTCATTTCTATTTACTAACAACATAAGATAAGAAATATACTCAATATATATATATATATATATATATATATATATATATATATATATATATACTATAGCGGGGCAAATCAAATTATAAGGTTCTATTGTTTTGCTCTTAACTTAAAATATACTCTACTATAAACAGCAAATAACCTTTTATCTTTCTCAAAGCAAAGTAATAAAAAGACAAAAAAATACCCTCAAAACATTCCCATTTTTTAATGACTATTACTAGTATATATTTTAGCACAGTATTATAATCATTTAACTGAAAACTATGAACAAAGCTGCAATAAAAAAGCTATTTGAATACTGTTGATTTGGAATGTCTCAATTATTAAAAAATGCACTGGTGGCTCATTTTTAATTGGACAATGCCTGGTACATTTCCTTTCCTAAAATGAGAGAAGCAAGGTCTCTTTGACACCTGTATTGAGAAGTCAATTAATCCATTGATGTTCAGTGCTGGCTCCATGAGGTCGAAGATGAGCTGAATATGGTGAGCTAAAGGGAGGTGATAGGAAGTCCCGGACGCAAAGCTTGTGATCTGCTCCAGCACATTGTTAGAGATCTGTGCAAAAAAGGTGAAAATAATGATAAGGCCAATATCCAAATAATTTTTATTTATTAAGAAATTTGAATTTATATGTGATTCTACTTAGAAGACAGTTAAAACCTATTTCTACTGAAATCCAAACCATGTACAAATTGACTTCCTTATTGCAACTATAACTGAAGAAATAAGCCAAGTCATCATAAGATCTAGACCCTAATTAATTTCCAGATAATATCTATTTGAATATCAATGGATTTATAAAATAAAACAGAGTTGGTTTCTTCTCAACTGTACTTTATTTATCATGAACAGATTTCTCTCTTATTAATAGCAATGTAGGACCATAGTGTAAAAACATGAGCATTACATTAGAGATATTTTACATAATGTTGATTATTACCATAAGGTAAAATATTTTCAAAATAAAAATTAATTCTTCTGAGGAAGACAACCTGACCCTTAAAACTGAGCTACTCAATAGTTTGAGATGCTTCTAAATATGTTTTAAAAGCATATTTATAAAACCAACTAAGGCCAGAAACATATACTACATAGGAGACTTTTAAGAAAATATGAATATCCCAAATGTATAATAAACAGCTTTAAATGGCTACCTGAGATGTTACTTGATGCTGATCAAAATATGAAAGGAGCTGAAGTTTTGTGAACACAGTCTCGAGCGTTGGAAATGCCTCCTGCCTGCTCTTCCTGGCTCTTGGTCCTTCATCTCCAACTAATAAACATATAACACATTATTTTTCATTCAACAGAAACTCTTGGGTTTTCAATGATTCTGTTTTTATTGAAATATAACATACAGACAAAAAAAGTGCACAAACTCTATGAATCTCTACAAATTAAATACACTCGTAATGAAACTCAAGTCACAAAATCACATATCAGAGCACTACACACTTGATGGGTTCCCCTCCAGCCACTTCCCTCTCTCCCCGGGACAAGATCCTAACTCCTAACAGCTTAGACTAATACTGCCCACCTCGGAACTTTATATAAATACAACCATACAATATATACATCTAATATCTGGCATCTTTCACTCAACATTGTGTTCTGAGATTAATCCATATTGTTACTGCAATATTAATTTGTCCTAAAATTAATACCTCCCACTTTGTACCACATTCCAGCGTTTGACTAACCACTATTTATTTATACTTTGCAGTGAGTTGTTTCTAGATTTTGGTTACTATGACCAGCACCTCCAGGAACATTTCTGACTGGCTTTTGAAATAGAAGACCGTAAGGAAGTGGGGAATCACCCAGGCTCATTCTGATTTAAGAGGAAGCTTCACTGGCATCTTCTTAGGAGACTTACTGTGATATTTTCCCAAACAGCTTAATATGTAAAAAAGAAAATTTACACACATGATTCCTAACTATTTTAGGGGTAGAAAAAAATAAAATTCCTCCACATTAATGGGAAAATGCAACACTTATTTTAGCATAAAGAACTTTGAGAAAATTATAATAAAAATGTTTTAAAATATGCTATCCCAGAGGGACTCTTTATTCTTTCTTAAAAGTTTAAAGGATAACATCCAAAAATAATTAGATGCAGTTTTTAAATATTTTGTAATGTATGTGTATACAAAGGTAAATCTAAAAACAAAAAGAAAAGGTTGGATTATATGATGTCTAAGGTCATTTCCAACACAAGGATTCTAACTAGTCAAAGGCTACGGTGACAAGTGCACTATCACTCACATCTCTGCCCGGCCCTCTTCTACCTGTCCCCCCCACACCCCCCCGCAATCACCATACTGTTATGTTTAAGAGGGTTTTTGTGCTTTTTTTTTTTTTTGCCTAATACCTCACATTTTATTTGGAAAAGTTTAATTCAGAGACAAAGATTACACACCTCTATTAAACTAACAACGACTTCACTAAACAGCATAAGATTTTGTTAATGACAAATGTAATGATGTTAAAAAGTAACATTAGAAGACAGGATACTTCCCTTTCAACCATAAGCAATTACAATTTAAGCCCTCACCAAAATCTTCCCTCTGCCCACCAAATAAAAACTCTGGCTTTTTTCTGTTCATTTCCTAAAACAAACAAACAAACAAGCCCTGAAACCAGAGTAAATCAGAATTAAAAGGTGACGAGCAACATAAGGTACAAGACTGTGCCACTTTTACCAATAACACCAAAGAACGAAAACTAGTAAGTTCATTAAACCTATTTAGTTTTCCATTTAGCTGATCACGCGTCATGAGCACGTTTAAAATATCCAAGTTTGGAATTTTTCATTAACTAACCGCACTGATCCAAGGCTGAAAGCGCACATCAACCATGTTGGGTACAATGTGGTTTAAAATTGAAGTTAAGATATTTAGTTCTTCCTGGGACCAAAGCAAAAACACAAACTAAAATAACACAGATGAGGAAGTAGATCCATCATGAGAACTCACAGATGCATCTCTTTTGTTTGTTTGTTTATGCTAATAAGCTATAGCTAACTTCTTAAAATCTCACATAAAAATATACAATTGGTTATTGGTAATTCTTATTCATTTTTAAAAATATAAAAATATTAGTGGTGGTTTTCAATGGAATACTTTATTTTAAAAATATTCACATGAATAACATGAATAATTCATAGTAATAGATATTCTTATTCTTTAGTTGCTTAATTTTGGTTGTCTTTTTTTCAAAATCTTTAAACCCTACAAGTTTTGGCCTTCTAGTTTGATAAACCTCATTAATATTTTCAAAAGATGCACCATTGAAACACAAAGATGACTGACTAGTCCAGCAGTTCTCAACCTGTTGGTCGCGACCCCTTTGGGGGTCGAACGACCCTTCTGCATATCAGATATTTACATTACGATTCATAACAGTAGCAAAATTACAGTTATGAAGTAGAAACGAAAATAATTTTATGGTTGGGGGGGTCACAACATGAGGAGCTGTATTTAAAGGGCCAGAAGGTTGAGAACCACTGGACTAGTCATATAAATGTAAAATAGGTTTGACCACCTTCAACTGGAAATGTCGTAAAAGCTTTAGATTATAAATGCCCCTAGATAAAGCCTGGTTGATGTGATAACACTCCTAATGGAGTTCCTAAAAATCATATTTTTAGTGTAGCCAGAAATCAAATACATGCTTACACAAGCTCCCTTTTCCTGCCTTATCAATGCTCATCTTCGCTGACAAAAGCTCGCAAATTTCCTTAATCTAAGAATAGTTAGCTAGCTTCTGGTGAGCACACTAGGTTTTAAGTAGTGACTTAAATGTGGACTATCAAAAGATAGATCTAATTAAACATTTCTGGGTGAGGAATTTTAAAATGAGGGAAAGACAAAAATCCACTTTGAAGATGCCTCTTCACAGTGGTGTTTCCATCACTGGTATCTCGAAAAGCAGCATGAACAACAATTGTCTCTGTGAGTTCATAAGCAAGACTTGCCTATTTAAGAAACTGATACAAAGATAGCAGAGACTATGGTCTGGCATGAAAAACTACAAAGGAAGGAAGTAGACTCAACAGAAAAAGATACCACATTGCTTCCTTCCTCTTCCTACCCTCTCAGTTTTCCAAAAACCAAAAATTCCATAGGATCTGGAAAGACTCTAAATTAATCTAAAATTTTTTAAAAAATGTATTACTAAAGCTTTGAACTGAGATAGTGTCCACCCCATTCTCAAATACACAAAGAGGTGTTTCAGTAGTCTCTGCTCCCTACTTAACACGGCTTCTAAACCCAACCTTCTAAATGCAACCCATTTCCTCTTTCTCAAAAAAAGAGAAAAAAGCAAAGGGACAGATCAACAGTTTTTCTTAGCAATTGTGTTCTTTGCAAGCTCAATAAGGACAAACCAACAACAACAGGGTTTCATTTCCCTTCCAGGACTCTTGGTTGTCCCCTGGCAAGCTGGTGAAGTGCAAGGTCCTTAACCAGCAATAGAAGGAAGTTAGGGAACATGATGCAAATCACATGAAGGTCAATTTTCCATTGTGTGTGCTCTGAGGACTAGACTGTGACTAATACAGTGGCAACATGACACTCAGAGTGAAAAGAGAGCCTTGTACCTTGTTTCTGCCTGTGCCCCTCTATTGATGGAGAGGAAAGAGAGCTATTTGCATTAGTTATATCTGCACTTTCCTGTAGGAAAGATCTAGCATGGAAAAGCTCTAGAAATTCATCTGCTTAAAGTCTAAAGGATCCCCTGTGGAGGGGTTCATAAAAGAGTATTTATTTTGTACTGAACATCAAAGTAGGGTTTCTAGAGGTGGCTTATACCAAGTGCAGGAAGTGTGCTGTTTGCATAGGGAAAACTGAAACCTCCCCCCTTGTATTATTTAAGTAGTAGAAAAAGAAATACCACTGGTGGTAGTGGAGTATATATTATATCATATTTTAAATCATGTAACTGCCTAATAAAATAAACAAACCTTGAAAAGAGTAATTAGGGAAATGTAAAGTGGATAATTACAAAATTTCAATTATGCAATGTAGTGACATAATGTAAAGGCATAGCTTCACTGTTAAAACTATGTAAAAGGCCAGGGGAAAGAGTATTCCAAGTAAAGAAGGCATTATATAGAGCAAAGGCCTAATTTTCTTTTTCACTTGAAAATATTTGGTGATACTAGTCACCATTACATATTGCGATTATTCTTCTGAATAATGTAAGAAAAGATCAGCAACTACACTGTCATGACTTTCAGTTATCATGCAATATAAGTACCCAGAGCAAACTACAAGCTTGAGAAAGGCTGGTAAAGAATAGGAGAATCACTTCCAAAGTAAGGGGTTTCCAACTCATTCTTCAATACTTCATTTTTGACTATTGTAGAAAATTCGGGAAGTAAAAAAAAAGTAGAAAATAAAAACTACCTACATCTACTCATAAAACGTGCTATTTTAATAGACGGATTACTATAAATGGAACCAAGGCCTTAAAATTTCAATGTGCTTATTCATATTTCAATGTGACAGTCATTCAGAAGAGGAAACACTGGGGACACTGCCATCTACAAACTTGATAAAGACTGCGCTAAGGGAAGGACATAAGCCAGCACAAGGGGAGCAAGTGCATTCGGGCGCTTTACCCCCCATCTCTGTGGTGCTCTTCTTATTTAGGATTTTCAAAATATCTCTGGTAATCTTCTTCAGCTGATGCCTCGCTTCATCACGTGCTTTGCCCACACCATACAGAAGAACTGTGCGCTGGTTACATTCATGGCTTGAAGACTCATCCTGAAAAACAGAAAAGTGCACTGTGAAGCCCTTGTCTGCAGGCGCAGGGCTGCACTTCGAGTCCAGGAAGTGCACTAACCACAGCATCTCTATGCTGGCTGGCCGTGGTGGCACCCGCCCACCTTTCAGTTCACCTCAACCTCCACTGGCAACACCTGGTTTTTCCAGTTTGGAACTTGCTAAAGTTATTAAAAGTGTCAACTAACCTGAAGTCTTAATAGAAGCAGTTGATGTGGGCGACCCCTACAGAGTAAGTTTTGACCACTGAAAACTTTTCATTGTTTAAAATTTAGCCTGGTGTTAATTTCACATCATATTTACATATTATCTAGTTGTACTTTTTCCTTAAGGAAAATGTTATTTTTTAGTAAGTTTGGTTTTCTCTATACAGCATCATTAAATATTTTATATTTATAAAAAAATCTTCCTAGGACACAACTACTTTTATAAAAGTGTTTCGTTTACTTCCAACACGACTGTGTAAGATGCATGTATATTTGTTTCCAATATAGCATGCAGGTTTCATTGGGAGGTAAATAGCTGGAAGTGCAAACATGTTCTGTCTGACACTAACTTCCCTTCTGGAGCGCCCCAGCCCTCCCTGCCCACAAACAGTGAATTCAAGAGCTGTTTCTCCCTCCTGGGGAGGGAGATCATTCAGTCACAGCAAACAACATGCACATACTGCTAACCACATTCCTCAGCCAAAGTCATACAGTTCAGGATGTGTTCTCTCTTAACACTTGGTTTTGAACTTTTCTACTAAATTTCCCTCTCAGATCTTATACTCTTTCATCTTCTTGGGATAATCCCCAGCTCTATCCTTCAGGCCATCTTCTTTTCTTACCATTTCTACATGTTGCCCCTGACAGGTGCTTTCCCTTCCTAACAGCAGCTAAGCCTAAGGAGCTTGCCTGAGAAAAGAACACCGCCCAGGAAACACACACAATATTCTGGTCCTAACTAGCAGTGGCTGCAAAAATCCTGGAGACATGGAGAAGCACAGCGTTTCATTTGCAGCACGCCACCTGGGCATGCTGCACAAAGCAGCATTTTGCTTCTACACTCTTGAAATAAGAGCCTGATCTCTCTCCTTCTGTCACTTTCCTCCCAGTCTTTGTCATTCTGTCTTTCTCGCTCACACACTTGAATTCAAGGCACCACTTCTCCCTGCACTAGTTCCTTTTTTTTATTACATTCTATCAGAAATCTACATTTGTACACCCTGACACTCCATCTTGCTACCCCACCCCCAAGCAATTATTGTTTCAGGTGTTCAAATTTGCCTCCTTACTAGTATAAAGGGGAGGGGAAGGCTAGGAGCAGGTCTCTTCTAGAAGCCACTGTTATTTAATACATCCTGAGTATCCAAATCTCCCCAAAATTTCCATAGGCAGACCTAACCACAGGATGAAGTCAACAGAGGTAATGATTCCCACACCTGGCTGCACATCTGAATGACCTGAGCTGCTTGTTAACTTTTGTTGTGGTCACAGAGCATTGCTGATATACTTCTTGTTTGTCTGCTGCACATGTGAACCTTAAAAAGGGAACAGAGGGCACTGAGGAAACTGTTCAACACCCAGCAGCACAGTCCTGTACCTGGGATTGTTTTCAGTGAAGGCACCTGTGGTCGAGTGGTTCTAATGTAAACTTCAGTAGGAGGCATGATGGAAAGATGTTAGCAAAGATATTCACAACTATTTATACAGTGTCTCCCCACAGCAGGACAAGGCACTAGGAACCCTGAGAAAATGCAAGGATGCCAGTTCCTTGTCCTCAAGGATTGCAGGTCCAGTGTCATAAAGGCAGCATTTACAGAGGGAGTAGGAGCCTCAGCAGGGCTGGTGTCCTGGGAAGGCCCTGCGCTCCTCACTAACACACAGGAGCCTGGGTGGGCATGAACAGTCATAGCCCAAGGTTGGGTCAGAGCTGTGAATGCACTTGGGTCCAGCTCCACGTCCAGAGAATGAGCCTTTCTGAGCCTCGGATTTTTCCTCTGAAAAACAAGGCAACACCACCTGCCCTGTGAGAATAACTGAGTAGCACAGGAGACAGTGCCCACTGCTGTTCATTCGTATTCCCTCACTTCCACTTCTCTCTCTCACACACACCCTACTCACACTGCCACGTTACTCAACATTTACCAGATACCGGCTGCATCCTTCCTTGGCTGTGGCCCTCCCACCACCTAAAATACTCGCAGCAGCCTCAGCTTCACTGGTGGAAATGCTCTGGCCATTTTCAGCCTCCGGGCCCTCACTCCCTCACTGCACACTAGTGAGAGCCCTCACCAGAGGAGCTCAGGGAGGAGAGAGAACCTTTGGAGAACTTATCACAGTGTAATTCACTTATTTTTTATGTATCTGCTGGTGTCTGTCTTCCCTGCTACACTATCTATTTGGTGAGGGAAAACCCAGGTCTGTTGTGTTCACATTTATGTTATTTTTTAAATTATCACCCAAGGATAGGTTTTTATTGATTTTTAGAGAGAGAGGATTCAGGGCAGAGAGAGAGAGAAACATCAATGTGAGAGAGAAACATTGATCAGTTGCCTCTGATATATGCCCCGACCAGGAATCAAACCCACAACCTAGGTATGTGCCCCAACCAGGGATGGAACCCACAACTTGGATATACCCCCGGACCGGAAATTGAACCCACAAATGGGACAGTGCTCCAACCAACCCAGCCACCAACCAGGGCCACATTTACATTCTTAATAGGCACTGATTAGCACTTAACATTCTTTGAATATACAATATAATGAATAAATAAGTGGACTAATAAAAAAACACATGACTAAAAGATAAAAACAAAAACTACTTTTGTAGGAAACTTAACCTGAAAAGTGCCGATAAAACTCAAAAGGAGAAATGAGAGGCAAAGAGAAAGAGCAAAAAAGTTTGTAGAGTGTAAACTAGATCTTAGTGGTGGGACTAAAAATAAGAAGCAAAACCAAGAGGTATTGATGGCAATTAGGAAAATATGGTGCATCTGAGTGAATGTTCATCTCACTGGGTTTCAAGATGGACTCACTAGACAAAGTATGTTGGAAAAAAGAAGAGTAGGTAACAATGGCAGGGAGCTCATAAATTCACCTTTAGGTGAGAAGAATTTAAAGGGTAGGTAGAAATCCTATATAATAAAAGCCTAATATGCAAATTGTCCCCTCAGGTGGGCAGTCAACGGGGAGTTCAAATGCTCGCTATGACGTATGCTGACCACTGGGGGGCAGCACGTAACAAGGCAGGAGTCAGCTGGGAGAGAGCACGCTGCCCTCCTGGCTTCCGTGTGGTGCCGCTGGGTGGCCCAGAGACCCACGCTGTGCTCTGGCCCGTGGTGTCTGGTCGCGCTCACCATATCTCCACGTGGGGACTTGGGCGCCATGCCTCAGACAGAGGGGGGTGCGCAGGGGCCCAGGGGCCCAGATACTGCCCAGGGCCCAGAGGTCAGCTGGAACCTGCCCTTCTATGCCAGATGCTCACCCTTCGATCACTGGCTAGGCTTAGGGATCGCTGGCCAGGCCTAGGTGCATGAATTTTGTGCACCAGGCCTCTAGTGTTTTATAAATATTTATTGGGTGGTTTGACATAGAGGCAAATATGGAGGTGACAGTTTAGGGAGAAGAGCAATGTGTCACTGGAAGGGGTGTAAAAATCCCAAATTATTGGGTGGGGAGCAAAGAGTGTTGAGACAGTGAGGAGGCCAAATAAACCATCGAATGATGCACATGCACTCTCCATCCTAGATAATAAAGAGGTAATATGCAAATTAACCTCCACACCCTCACAAGATGGCTGCCTATGACCAGGCCGGCAGGGGGGATAGTGAGAGACAACCAAACGACCAAACAAGCAGGCTGCATGGGGCGACCAGGCCAGCAGGGGGGTTAGTGAGGGATGACCAAATGACTGAACAAGCAGGCTGCGTGGGGCAACCAGGCTGTCAGGGGGGTTAGTGAGGGATGACCAAACGACTGAACAAGCTGGCTGCGTGGGGCAACCAGGCTGACAGGAGGGCCATGAGGGGCGACTAGGCCGGCAGAGGTGGCAGTTGGGGGCGACCAGGCCGGCGGGGGGGGGGGGGGCAGTTAGGAGTGACCAGGCAGGCAGGCAGGTGAGTGGTTAGGAGGCAGTGGTCCAGGATTGTGAGAGGATGTCCGACTGCTGGTTTGAAGAAATGAACATGACTCAGAGCAGACTTCAATTTAATTCACTTAAACAGGCAGTTGGACATCCCTTGAGTAGTCCCAGATTGGAGAGAGTACAGGCTGGGCTGAGGGGACACCCCTCCCCTGGTGCACAAATATCATGCACTGGGCCTCTAGTAATTAATAAGAGCACCAGAGAAGTCAGGGTCACAGAGGTTAGTCATGGAGGGGACGTTTAACGCTGGGAGTCATCAATAATATCAAACGCAGTAGAGAAGTCACAATGGATGTAGCTGACTTGTTTTTTTCAAAAACACATGTGTGAACCTCAAAAGAGAAGTTTCTCTACAATGGGGGGTGGAGGGCAGAGAGCAGGACACAGGGAGCTGAAGTAAGAGTAGGTGGCGAAATAAGAGAAGGCAGAGGAAGTAACCCACATTTACTAGTACTGGGCATGAAGAACAGCAGCTTGAGAGGAAAGGGAAGGTTGTGTTAAGATCATCAATGGCAACCTCTTGTTTCAAAGCTATGTTCCAAATAGAGTCTCCAGGAAGGAAATCCAGGTCGGAGGGCAGATAACTGATAGATAGAAAACAACAGTGTCTTGTCTGGCTTAACTTGGAAAGAAAGTCAGGCACACCTTTACACTTCACCACTGAGTAAAAGGAAACTGATGAAAACATGGGGAATGTGGGTGAAAAGTGAGGAATCTGAGGAACTTCACATTGGTTCATTGGTCCTGATATACTCAGGGAGTTGGACTAGAAGCACAGTCATGAATTGAGAGTGAGGGATGGAATTTAAAAGCAAGAGCAACATGCACTTAGCTGGGAAAGAACCACCGGTCCCCTCTGAGTGGTATAAAACTGTATGTGCTTCTGATAGCTGATATTGTGAGGAAAATCATGCATGGTAGCTGTTACTAATCTTCAAAATGGAAAGGCAAAGACTTCTAAAAGCAACTCTTTTTCAACAGCCTACAACAGCAATTTTCAACCAGTGTGTTGCAAGAATTTTTAAAACATACAATACCCGACTATTTAGTCAGGGGCACGGACCTCTTTTCCCTTAGGTTGTCAAATGAAAAAAATGACAACAGCCAACAACACAATAGCCATCCAGTGTGAATGAATCACAATGATACCTTTTATTCTTGTCAGATCAGCAAAAAGCACATTGTTTGGTGTCACAGAACTTTAGTAATTAGTTTATGTGTGCTGTAAGATGAAAACTACGGAATTGGTTTATGTCAATTTTCGGTACATGCAGAAAATGTACAAGTCTTCAAAGACCAGCTTATGCTACATGAGAATTAAGGCACCCTAAGAAAATAGGCCAAATATTCCTAAGAGTACCAATAAGTTCTACTCTTTCATCTGGGAATCCAAACACCCTCAAGTTACCTAGCTGTAAGTAAAATTAATGATTGGAGATCAGTACCGAAGAATTATTCTGCTATTTATTCCCTGAAGGACACATTTGTTCAGCAGGAAAAAAAAATCACTAGGCAATCCACAGTGTCTAGCCACTGCCAGTGTGCTGTCCATGGCTGGGACAGTTCATCTCCCCTGTGCACTGAGTTTTGAAAATCTCCAGATCGATTACTCTCTTTCTCCAGATAAAAATCACCTAACTGATAGGGAACTAGGAGGATGCATTTCCAAAAACCGGGGAGGCCTGAAGGAAGAACTGAAGTGAATTAAATTGAAGTCTGCTCTGAGTCATGTTCATTTCTTTAAAATATGTGATTAAAAATGTTGCCAAAACACGTGTGTGTTCACAGAGATATGATAACGGTGGCTAGACTATCAGAGCTATGTACTTTCCTTATTAATATTTTCTGATTATTTCTACAAATGACCCAATTAACCGTAGAATTTAAAAATTAATAAATTAATGCTCCTTAAAGGGAAATAGGAATCCCACTCTGAGTGCTTCCTTATCTTTTGAACACTAATTAAGATGGATAAAGTAGATGCACTTGTCCTGCTGATACGATATAATTAAGCATTTCAAACTTCCCAACACTCATTAATTTGTATGTTTAAATATTCAAATGCAAACCCAGTATACTTCACCTCCAAAAAGGAGTAAAAACCACTTTTTTAAAAATAATAAAGCTACATAAAATTTTTAGTTCCTTTATTAAAATAAGTTTATTTTATTATTTTTAATAAATCTTTATTGTTGAAAGTATAACAGATGTTCCTCTTTTTCTATACAAATAAAAGGGTAATATGCTAATTAGACCAGGTCGACCGGCCATCTTCCAGATGTCCAACTTCCTTCCGGACAAAGCCATGGTGATGGGGGTCGAGGCAGAGGCAATTAGGGGTGATCAGGCAAGGAGGGGAGGGCAGTTGGGGGCAAGATCAGGTCGGCAGGGGAGGGCAGTTAGGGGTGATCAAGCAGGCAGAGGCAGTTAGGGGTGATCAGGCTAGCAGGGCAGAGCAATTAGGGGCGAGATCAGGTCAGCAGGGGAGGACAGTTAGGAACGATCAGGCAGGCAGAGAGGTTAAGGGCGATCAGGCAGGCAGGCAGAGGGGTTAGGGGCAATCAGGCAGGCAGGCAGAGGTAGTTAGGGGTGATCAGGCAGGTAGGCAGGTGAGCGGTTAGGAGCCAGGGGCCCCAGATAGCGAGAGGGATGTCCACAGGGATCGGGCCTAAAAAGGCAGTCAGACATCCCCCAAGGGGCCCCCAATTGAAGAGGGTGTAGGCTGGGCTGAGGGATTCCCGCCCCCCTGCATGAATTCTGTGCACCAGGCCACTAGTATGCATATAAGTTTTTTGACTAATCTCTTCATGGCCCCATCCCCTCCCTCAGAATAAATAACTATTAAAAGAGGTTTTCAAGCATTATTTTTGTAGCTGAATTCTTCAATATGACATTGTTCTGTTTAGAATAAAATGACCACATAAATGCTACACCAATAATAAGCCTTGCGCTGGGGTGAAGAATAGCTGTGTACATGTGTAAGGAGGGAGGGTGTGTTAGGGGCAGAGAACAGCAAACCTGCGAGCTGTACAAGGCCCACAAAATCATTTGGTCTGGCCCTGGAAGGCATATAGGGTGAGTTCATTAAATGTCTGGCCAAATACAGCAGGCGAACTTTTAAGCTGATAATTTTGTATGACCCTTGAATGATGTTTTAAATATACAAATGGCCCTTGGAAGAAAAGAAGGTTCCCCACCCCGGTAAAGTAACAAGAAATGAGCTGCTGCTTCTCATTAATAATTCCACCTGAATTAGAGTAAATTTTTCTTTAAATCATAAAAAATAGGAAACCCCTTTAATTTGATTTGTATAGGATATCTTTGTCCTACAATAGCTTATAGTCTGCAGTATGGCTGAAATGAGACTTTATCCAACAGAGTCAGTGCACTGTAGGAGCATAACTGATATTAAGGTGTTTAACTAGATATAGTAGCTAGGCCTCCGCTTTCATGCAAAACATTTGAGACAGGGTGACAACTCGATCAGCAGAGCTAGCATTCGCTTTTACTAAAAACCCCAATGCCCAAGACTCCTTATTTTAGGAATTTGTCTTTTATCAAGCCTAAATGTCTATACTCTCACCAGAAAAGACAAACTAGATGACATAAGCAATTCCTTAAAATGCATGTGTTCAATCAAAACATTCACTAATATCAGAATGACCACACCTACAAACCGTGTTAGAACTAAAATAGCCAAAGAGAGCTAATCAAATGGTTTAATTACCTCTCCATCCTCCTGCCACAATCTGATTCCAAAGGGACCAGAGTCCTCCACTTTAGGACAGGGGCCCCCGGGGTTCAGAGTAATCTCATTCAAGTAAATATTTTCAGATAAGCAGACAACCTTCAGCAGACTTGGCAAAATAAATAAACTGGTTAAATCACTTGCATGTAAAAATTCCGGGGTATAAGTTTATTCTAAGTCATCTCAATCGTTGAAAGTAACCAAATCAATCAAAGCTAGTCCGGTTCCCAAAGTAACACATATGATTACAAACTGCATGTGTTGTTGTTTATTAACGAGGTAATGCTCTACTACATTCATATGACAATATACTTTTGTAACCTGAGACAATTCTTGCTTAAAGGATTTTAGTCACTTTCAGGGTCAAGTGATCTAAATGGGTAATTGGCAGTCATCCTCCAATGAGAAAATATTATCAGAGAAGGTTCACAGACAGGTGTGGTTGTGAGTTAAAATCAGAGGAGAGATAAAGTTAATTTAGAATAAGAGCTGGAGATTTTCCTTTACCCTTCAATCCCCTACTCATAGTCCTCTAGGAATTCGGAAATGTAAATTCTCAATAAAATATATGATTTAAGAATCCTGAATTAGTGTTCCTGTAATGTAACATGTACATTATGTGTTATAATTTCCCCCCACAAATCTTGTTTCATCTCTAGACCTTAGAAACAATTCATAAACATCCTTTAGAGTTTACAATTTGCTGTAAATGCAAGTATGACTCTTATTTTCCTTCAAGAAGTGCAGCCATTCCCTTCATGGTATTTACCTCTTGCTCCTCTACCTCAATGTCGAGGAGACAGCAAGAGGGGGAAGATTTAGCCGTAACTGCAAAATAGTTACAGATGGAGGCTTCGGGACCAGACAGCATGGTTGGCATCAGGCCTCTAATGAATCCACTGCTCTGCTCCCCAGCTTCCCTCATCCAGAAACAGAAATAATATGAAGGTGTACTTCAGAGGGTCATCAAGGTCATAAAATGAGTAAATTCATGACGATATAAGGAATCAAACACTGGCGATTATTATTCGGAAGTGTACATAACATAAAAGTTCTGTCAAAGTCTAATTTTGTGTCCCCAAATCAACAAGTAAGATTTGCTTATTGTAAGTCAAATTTTAAAATAAAAATAACCTGATTCCTACTTTTTTAAGAGTTTAATATCAAATTGACACTTCTAGCTGACTAACAGATTAGGATCTATTAAGTACCTGAAATTTCCAAATAAGATGATTCAAATTCATAACTTGATTTCAGATTCTTAATGCCAATTTAAGTCAGTGGTCCTGACTTAAAACATCAGTGAGCATGAGTATCACACGGGAAGCTCATTAAATGCAGGTGAGGGGAGCACCCAGAGTTCCTGACTCACTGGGGCTCGGTTTGGTGCCCAGGAACCTGCATTTCTCATGACTTCCCAGGGGAAGCCTGCACTTTGAGAACCTTTGTTGAAGATTAACAAATACAGACACAGACCCACACAAAACTCAGAAGAAAGAAATAACCAAAACATATCTTCATAGCAAAGGCATCTACCCAAATGGTCCTCTGGTAACAGAGGAGATTACAGTTAGAAATATTTGTGTGTGTTTGTGTGCATGCATGTCCACAGCAGTATTTATACCAAAGTAATAGCAATACAAGGATCTATGAATTTAATGATATATTCCCCAACACCAAAAACTTGGTTAACAGAAAAAAAAATTGTTTCTATGTAAATTCTGTTCAAGAAAATCATAAAAGACACTTTATATAATAAGCCTGGCAAGTGGATACAACTGTTTTTCTTTCTAATGTAATTTTGGAACTTTATAATTTATAATGGGAGGAAACTGTTTTATCTACAAAAAGTTGATCCAACACAGATTTAAAATAATGACATTATTAACCAGGAAAAGAAAGGCAAAGAGCAAGAGATTTAACATCCCTAACAAGCACAGATTCTGAGTTAATGTAATTACTTTTACAGCATAATACATCATCCGACGTTGAGCACAGTATGTTTTCAGGTAAACAGCCATCTAAGAAAGCAAGCTTGCAACCTTCTCCAGGAAGCAGATTTCAAAGGCTTGGATTTATCCTCGCAGGGAAAAATACCCAAAAGAACTCATATAGCAGGAACTCTATGGCAGGTCTCAGTAAAAAGCCACAAGTTTTAAAATTGCCTTTTAAAAGATGACTTTTCACCCACCCTGCCCCACATTTCCCAAGGAAATAAAAGCAGAAGTCATAAAAGTGGACAAACGGAAACCCAGTGTCTGCATAGCTTTGAGTCCACAGCACTTGAAGGTAATTTCTGATTGTGGAGTCCTCTCTTCCGCTCATGCTCTATTTCTCTCTAGAAACCTCAAGACTTTACTGATGAGAACTCTGCAAATTCTCTACCATAAAGAGTTTTAACAACTAAGCTAAGAAATTAAAAAGGAAAATACCAGATGCCATCCTGCAGTTGAACTGACTACCACTTACTGGATACATTTAAATCCTCCAATCAACAGAGTAACCAGGTAACTTTATATCTAGAAGTATTTGACACTTTGTATTTACACTATGTATTTACACTTTGACATATGTGAACATTTTTTCACGTTTTCTTAAAATTGGAAACCTTTAGTAACCATATCAATGCAGGCACTTATTTGGGATAAAAATTAAAATATAATCCACAATAATGGTGTTAGAGATAACAATTTCATTTAAAAACTTATAGAGGACTGAAATAAAATACAAATGGTCTTACTAATTTTACATCAAGTGTGGAATTAGACTTAGATATAGAGAGAGCTGAAATTCTCCAGATCAAGAATATGTGTTAAATAAGTTGTAGTCTATGCAAAATGGGTAATCCCAAAGTAGAATTTCCAAAACTATCAAAGAATATACAACTCAAAGCAAATAGCGGTAGCAAGGAAGGTTAAAATCAGTGATCTTGTATCAATTACATATTGTTTTTGGTTTGTTTTAGGTTAAACAGGTGAGAGGTGAGGAGGTGTTGAAAACTGAAGCCATAATTGTGACAACGTGAATGAATCTTGTTTTACTTTCAATAATTAAAGGATGTAAAAAATTAATTCCACTGACATTTGGGGTATTTAGTTCTACCTTTATTTGTCATATTTAAATATTTTATATGGAATTTTTTTTAAATTTAGGTATCTGTGCTTTAACATTACCATATCTTATATTTAGGAATAATATTCTATAAACAATCAATTCCACTGTCTTTGATGAAATAAAAATGTTACAAATCTCACTTTAAATTTCAAAATTTAGATGTCAGATAACATATTCAAATGAAGTGTTAGTTTATTTACAGCTGCTTGTTGGGGTATAATAACCTATGGAACCAGACATGAGCATGGTTTTGCTTTGCTATAGTATCTACCATTATATTTGAAGCTAAAGAATGAGTCCTTATGGGCCTGACTTTTGAATAGATGCCAGCAACACAGAGGCAGAAATATCCTTCAATTATAAAGGACATTTTTCTTTCTGACTCAGTGTCTTACTTATTTAATCCTAATAGGCAATTATCAGTTATTTCTTCTTAGAATGCTTTGATGGTACAACTAAAGTAAGTGAAGTCTAGGAATAAGGTTGGTGCAGAAAGGGTGACTGAATAGAAACAAAAGAACTTTTTAAAGGCATGGAAATGAAACCGGAGAACAAAGCAGAGCCCTAATATTGCTCTTCTAGACTTCATGTATAAATATACAGATGTTTTTGCCTAAGATCAAAAATGTTTTAAGAGAGGCTAATATTCAACAAATAAAAAATACAAAGTATCCATACTTTCACATAATTCAGACCATTTTACTTTCCTAGAAGTAGAATATGATGAAATATCATGAGATTGTTTTCTTTGTTCTTACTACTTGCCACAAAAAAAATTAGAAACCTGTTTTTAAAGAAGGCTGTCCAGAAAAGTCACAGAGACAAAAGCAAAATCAGCTACTGGCACTGAAAATAACTACCTCCCCTCCCCTCCAGGTATCAAAGAGGGAACACAGCCATGGACAACTTCACCTCTCCCCCGGGGAATGGCAGCCTGTGCACCAGGGACTACCACATCACCCAGGTCCTCTTCCCGCTCCTCTACACTGTCCTGTTTTTCACTGGACTCATCACAAATAGCCTGGCAATGAGGATTTTCTTTCAAATCCGCAGTAAATCCAACTTTATTATTTTTCTTAAGAACACAGTCATTTCCGATCTTCTCATGATTCTGACTTTTCCATTCAAAATCCTCAGTGATGCCAAACTGGGAACAGGACCACTGAGAGTGTTCGTGTGCCAAGTGACCTCTGTCATATTTTACTTCACAATGTATATCAGTATTTCATTCCTAGGGCTGATAACTATCGATCGCTACCAGAAGACCACCAAGCCATTTAAAACATCCAGCCCCAACAACCTCCTGGGGGCTAAGATTCTCTCTGTTGTCATCTGGGCATTCATGTTCTTACTCTCTTTGCCTAACATGATCCTAACCAACAGGAGGCCGAGAGACAAGAATGTGAAGAAATGCTCTTTCCTCAAATCAGAGTTTGGTTTGGTCTGGCATGAAATAGTCAATTATATCTGTCAAGTCATTTTCTGGATTAATTTTTTAATTGTCATTGTATGTTATACACTCATTACAAAAGAACTATACAGGTCATACGTAAGAACAAGGGGTACTGGCAAAGTTCACAAGAAAAAGGTGAACATCAAAGTTTTCATTATCATTGCTGTATTTTTTATTTGTTTTGTTCCCTTCCATTTTGCCCGGATTCCCTACACCCTGAGCCAGACCCGGGATGTCTTTAACTGCTCTGCGGAGAATACTCTGTTCTATGTGAAGGAGAGCACGCTCTGGTTAACTTCCTTAAATGCATGCCTGGATCCATTCATCTACTTTTTCCTTTGCAAGTCCTTCAAAAATTCCTTGATGAGTATGCTGAAGTGCACCAATTCTGCAACATCTCCCCATGAAAACAGGGGGAAAGGTCAGGATGGTAGGGACCCAAGCGAAGAGACTCCAATATAAACACATTGAGGTAAGATTTCAGTCTGTTAACCAGATTGAAATATTAGTGTTTGGAACTCCTAAAAGAAAACACTATGTAAAAATATTAATACTAAGAAGCAGCTGAGTAACAATGATGCTTGAAACAATAGAAGACTACAAAAGTAATTTTCATTTACTTTTTCAGTATTAAAAGCTATTTTAAAATGTAGAAAACTAAATTAACATATAGCCGTGGAGCAAAACAAACTGTTATCCAATAACCAGGTGACATGCAAAAACCATACAGAATTCAAGAATTGAAGAGTTTTGGCAAAATAGGTAACAATATAATGATACTTACTGTAATTCTATAAATACATTATTGATCACAATATTAGTAAACTTACTATATAATCAACTGGAGAATGATAAATCTGATAAAATCTTCTGACCAAAAATTATACTTATCTATAATAATAAAAATGTAACATGCTAATTAGACCAGGCAGCCAAACGACCTTCTGGACATTCTTCCGGACATTCTTCCGGATGACCTTCTGGACAAGCGGGGCTGCAAGGGCCGAGGCAAGCCACCGCGGCTGCAAGGGCCGAGCCCCTTGCACAAATTTTGTGCATCATGCCTCTAGTTAGTTGTATATACAATTCTAGTCCCCAAACCAAATGCTGACCTATTGTGATAATCATTATAAAAATTTAAGTAAGTGGGGCACACAAAGAATAGTAACTACTAACTTATAATTATCAGCAAAGACCTAAGGGATTTATACTAATTGAAATGGTAATAGATTGGACTGAATTTTTTTTAATGTTCATTAAGATAGAAGATTAAAAACTACTTTTCCAATAAAAAGTGTAGAAATAGCAAATGAAGCCATTAAATAAAGAGGCTTTTTATAAGATATTCTAATACACACATACAAAAACAAACAAACATAATACTCCCTTAACACTAAAGAAATCAGTTTTACTAATGTTTTCTACAACTTTAGTAAATGCAATAGCATCATTAACTTATCTTTATTAACTAGCTACTAGAGACTGCACACAAGTTAATAAACATTTCCCATAGTGAGAAAAACAAATGTAATTAAGCATTTGTACAGCATAACTATCAACAGGAAAGTGATTAAAATGGTTGGATTTATGCCCTTGCTGGTTTGGGTCAGTGGTTGGGGTGTCGGCCCTCAGACTGAAGAGTCCTGGGTTCAATATTTCTCTCTCTGCCTCTCCCCCTTCTTCCCACTCTGTCTAAAAATCAATGGAAAAAAATATCCTCGGGTGAGGATTAACAACAACGACAAAATGTTTGGATTTACCTGTTTGTTATTTGTGTGTATAACAAAAAATTTACATTAAACTCTAAATCACACTTTGTTAGAAATTCTTTGTTCAAAGATATTAGATACCATGACTCACTTCCTATCTTCCCCCTACCTCAAATGTCAAACCCATTTAAGAAAGATCAGCTGCCAACACTTTTAAGACAGAACATTGAGAAAATCTTCTGAAGGTGACATCTCACATCAATTAGTTCATATGTAAATGAGAAACCAGGTCAGACTTCAAATGTAGACTGATTCCACAGAAGCCATGTTCATTATTCTTAATATAAATAAAATATACAACACACTGGGAATTAAGACTTCATTTATCTTAATTATATATGATCCTCAGAGGTGATTTTCAAGCAGAAGGCATAGATTCCAATATCTAAATATCATATGAGAAGAAATTAAAAGGCTGAATCCTATATAATAAAAGCCTAATATGCTAAGTATCTGGTCGTCTGGTTGTCTGTTCAACCAATCAAAGTGTAATATGCTAAGAATGGATTTTACATTTCAAATGTTTGTGGGGATAAAAGTTAGAAGAAGGGTAAAAGCTCATGCTGCATTAAAGTTATATGAAATTCAAGTTTCAGTGTCCATAAGGTTTTATTAGAACACAGCCACACCCACTGGGGTTTTACCTGCCGTTAACAACAGGGATAAGTAGTTGTGTTGGAGACTGCAAAGCCACAAAAGTATTTACTAGCTAGTTCTTTAAAAGACTGACAACCCCTGGACTAGAACTTTAAAAGCAGAAGAAAACCCCTACATGGGAAACAAAACAAAACAAAAACAACCCTGTCTTCAAGCACCAAGGTACTTCAGTGGCTTTGCATTGTAAACAACTGCAGTCCAGTCGCTGATCTAGGTGACCTGCTAGCTGGGAATGCCCAAAGCGGGACTACAATGATGCCAGTGGGAACTAAGCATGTGGAAACACGCTTACAAGTCTCTAAGTAAAGAGACAGCCTGACTTTTTAAAAAATGGGGAAAGGGCTTGAAAAATCAATTTCCAGGAGAAATACAAATGGGCAGTATAATATAAACACATATATATCACTGATAATCAAATAAGTATACTAAAATGACATGGCTTTTTTGTACCATGAGTTTTAGAATTGATTTATAAGTTTTTAAGCAAGGTGTTGTAGAATCCCACTCAGTGAAACTACAAATCAGTACAATCTTTCTGGAAAGCTTTTGGAAAATACCATTCTACATATTGATGCACAGTGTTTGATCCAGCATTCCACTTTTAGGGAACTTCCTATAAATATGTTGCAACAAATGCACAAAAATATATGGACATGTATATGCTCTACAGTACTGTTTTTTAATATGAGAAAAAAAATGGGAAAATAAATGGCCAACAACTTAACTAAACTATGATAACTTTATATTGTATAACATTTTTTTAAAAATTAGGGAAGTCATCATGTACTGACATAAAATAAAACAAAGATACAATATATCAATAAATGTAAATATATATGTACATGTACATATTTCCAAACCATTGGTATTATATGTAAAAGGGATTAACTTGCAATTACTATTATATGCATGTCTATATTTGAACTCTTTAAACTTTATAATAAAATTATGAAGCTGAATATTCATATAATTGTTTCAGATATTGTGAATCAATTGCCTGTTTCCAGTCATAGGTACAGACTTTCTAATGTTGAATTTAATAACAGACAAAGATTACTACATTTAACTTGAAATTACATAATTTATTTTAGCTTATTATTATCACTTTCGGTTAATCCAGTGTGGAATTTTTTAAACAATTTCATATAATCCGCGAAAGTACCATGGTATACCTTGATGGGAAGTAAAAGGTTCTTCTATGAGTACAGGAGTTCCCATTTTGACTTTCAATCCAAATAAAAGTAAATACTTCCTCATCTTTCACATATTATTTACATGGCACTGGTTACCATGTGAACAGGAACCTTTAAACTGTTAACTCTGATCCAAAGGAAAATCCCAAAGGAGACTACAAATGTAGTTATTCCCATTTTGCAGGCTTCTAATTTTTATTTTATCTTCTTTGATTCTCTTCCGATTATACTGCTTTGAACCAATTTATGTTTTCAACCTCACACCTTACTTTAAGAGAAGAAGTTTCACAAGTCCATTAACTTTATAGTTTACTGTTTCATCTCATTCATCATTCAGTTATGCCCACCTCAAAAACTCTAGAATTTGGTAAACAATTCCATGGTCACCTTATCTGTGGCTTCTAACAGCCAGGAGAGAGTAAGGCAGGCTCTGAGTGTGGGGCGTAGAGCTAGAGTCTGTGGGTTTGCAGTGGGCCTGGGCTGCATGACCTGAGGCGAAGTGCTTAACTTCTGCACTTCTGTTTTCTCATCTGTAAAATGGGACCGATCACTGCTGTAAGAATTGAATAAGATCATATTATCAACAGAGCAGCACAGCCAGTGTGATTTTATTAGTTTTGACTATATTCCCTTTTGAGTCCGATAGGATCTTATTTTTTAAAATATATTTTTATTGATTTCAAAGAGGAAGGGAGAGGGAGAGAGATAGAAACATCAAAGATGAGAGAGAATCATTGATCGGCTGCCTCCTGCATGCCCTTACTAGGGAACAAGTCTGCAACCTGGGCATGTGCCCTGACTGAGCCACACCAGCTGGGTGGATTTTAAATGTTTAGTTTATTCCCATTTGACAGGCACCTAATTTCTGAAACCTTTACTTATATCTTACTAGAGGCCCGGTGCATGAAATACTTGCATAGGTAGGGTCCCTAGGCCTGGCCAGAGATCAGGGCTGATTGGGGTCTTCCTTCCCCTGGCTGCTGGCTGCCGGCCAGGGCCTTCCTTCATTCCGTGCCACCCACTGGTGGTCAAACACCCGGTTGCTAGAACTCCTGAGGGGACAATTTGCATATTAGCCTTTCTTATATAGGATTTGATTTTTTCCTCCCGTCTTTCATGAGCTATCCCACAGTTCTACATTATATTCCACTTTCCTTTTAATTTCATTTAACAGAAAACATGCCAATACCTACCATGTCACAGGATTCATTCTCCACAGTGGGTGAATTTTCACCCATTGTATCCCTTTAACAACACAAAAAAGCAGACACCATTACTTATTTTCATATAAAGAGGAGACAATGGTTTCATAGAGAGCATAAATAACTTGCCCAGGGTCATAAGAAAAGTACGAGTTAGAATAAGGAATTAAACCCAGGCTCTCTGGCTCCTGAGGCCGTGCTCATATCTGCTCTGCTGGGCAGCCTCTCAGAGACAGTATCAAGGGCAAAATACCTCCCCCATGGGTCATGGCAACTCATGAGAACAAAGAAAGACGGCCAATGCACACTAAGCACATGGACACATAGGAATGAGTGACCTATGGAATATTTACTATGATGAAAAACTTTGAAACCTACCAACCCATTTAAAAGAATACCCTTCCGTAACTTTAGAAATAGATACCACTTGAGTTCCCCTTTTGAAAGTTTCCCACACTCTGGGATTTTGAAACTTGACCAAAATGTGATTTCCAGTTTTCACATTATGAAATGAAATTTCCCTTGTTTAAATTGAAACTATTCCAAACCTTCAATGGATTTGCCTCTGTCAGGAAATGTACACTTAATTACGTAAGTCAAATCCCTCTACTTAAAAACTAAAACTAAAAAAGTTTTGTTTGTTTTTACTCTCTAATAAAGCAAACAAAAAGATATGTTTAAATTATGTTCCATTGCATTAATGAAATCCAGAATCTGTATTTCCAAGAATCAATTTGAATGAAACACATTTTTTTTTTCAAACTGTGTCACCATAGGTTAGTTCCAAGCAAAATTATCAGGCATCCCATTGCCTCATATTTCAAAATGTCTGGTCGGTTATAGAGTTTTATTCTCAGAATCCCAAGCCAAGTCATCGAAAAATTCTCAATCAACCAACCCGACAGTCTACTCCAGCTCTGTGGTTAAACTTGTTGCACAAAATATGAAGTGAAACTCACCATGGAGAACTCCACATTCCCTCATAAGATCTCTAAATTTCCTCTTTCCCTTTACCTATCTGGCAAGACAACATTTGTATTATAGATTTTTGTCTATACAAAAGCAGCAATTAGCCTGGACAGCATGGCTCAGTGGATAGAGCCTGGGGACTGAAGGGTCCCGGGTTCGATTCCTGATCAGGGCACATGCCCGGGTTGTGGGCTCAATGCCCAGTGTGAGGTGTGCAGGAGGCAGCCAACCAATGATTCTCTCTCATCACTGATGTTTCTCTCTCCCCTTCTCCTTTCCTCTCTGAAATAAATAAAAATATATTTTTTAAAAAACAGCAATTACTCTTTCAAACTTGAAGAGATCTTAAAGAAAAAAAATTTGTAGACCTTGGCCCAAGATTGATTGATGGATAAAATTCCTGAAGTCTATAGCACTTCGCATATAACATGAAATACAGAGAAGATTTCCAAAAATGGTTTTCTAATAAATGAGAACGTATGTCGCCATTTAAATCTATAATTCCCACACCAGAGCAGTGAGTGACTAAAATTTTTCAGCCAGCACTATTCCAGGCCCGCACTTGGTCCTCCCAGCAAGACCACAGGGTGTACACCATTACTAAACCCGTCACACAGAGGACACTGCAGCACAGAGCCGTCCAACCAGCTGTCTGTGACCTGGTACACAGTAACTGGCGAGTGTGGGATTCTGACTCCAAAAACCTGGATCTATTAGCCCTTAGCCCTTAGCAAATATGTCATTTTCTCTTTCAGAGATGGAAAGACAAAAAGACTAAGATAAATGTTTATAGAAACAAACAGGCCATCATACTGAACACAAATTTCTGGGGAAAACAGTCTAGAAGGATGCAGATAATGATTCTACCTGATTTTAGAGTCAACTATTACACTTTGTTGTAATTTGGGGCTATTTTCTTTATCTTTCTGCCTCCCATTACTATATACAAGAGGCACTCAAAAATTTCATTAAACAAGTAGGTAAACAAGATTAAGCTGCAGGAAAGTTACACTATGCGAAAATATAAAGAAACTGCAACTAATTTATGCAAGTCATAGTAGATGAAGAGTACATAACTTTGAAATAAGAGATTTCTTATTAGAAAATCCTCCAAAGGTCTGAATGTGAAGAGATTCCAATGGATCACATTACACGTGAAATGAGGAAGGAAAGCAGGTTTAAGAAAGCAGAAGGGCTTGCTTCACACGCTCTTCGTGGGCTGATCTAATGACTGCACCAAGCAGGAGACAGCCAGCAAGCCTCCTCGCAAACAAAGGTGAGTTTCAATTTTTATTATAAGTGTGCTTGCTTATAAATGGTAGACTATACTCAAGGCGGGAAATGCTTTAAGGTTAATATTCTACAAACTAGATTAGGAGCATAAACAATTATATAATGTACAGTAATCTGACATCAATTAGTACCTCTTAAATGGGGTTTTGTTTTACTGCCATAGTAAGAGTAGCATTTGTGAATCGGGTAGGACCTGTTATTTGGATTTCATAATGTTGAGAGTAATGGTAATGTTACAAGTACCAAAACCGTATTATGTACTTTAAAAATCCTAAACAAACTGTGTCTTCTCCACCGATCTACTGAATGTGATAATGTTCATACAGAAGGTATTATTATGCTACAAACCTAAAGTCTGTTTTTTCTAAAAGTAGCATTTTTAAATCATGAAAGGCTTTGTTTTACTGTGTGTCTGTGTGTTTATTTGTAACAGCTGACACTGGAAATCATGAACGCCACAGCGACGAAGGGCTTCAATGGGTCTGAGCAGTGCCCCAGGGACACGCGGATAGCACAGCTGGTGTTCCCAGCCATTTACACCATTGTTTTCCTCACCAGTATCTCGCTGAACACTCTGGCCCTGTGGGTGTTCATTCACATTCCCAGCTCCTCCACCTTCATCGTTTACCTCAAAAGTACTCTGGTGGCCGACTTGGTAATGACACTCATGCTTCCATTTAAAATCCTCTCCGATTCACACCTGGGACCCTGGCAACTCAGAGCCTTCGTGTGTCGCTTCTCTGCTGTCATCTTCTATGAGACCATGTACGTGGGCATCATTCTGCTGGGCCTCATCGCCTTTGACAGATTCCTCAAGATCATCAGACCTTTTGGAAAATTCTTTGTACAAAAACCCACTTTTGCAAAAACAGTCTCAACCTTTGTCTGGTTCCTTTTGTTCCTCATCTCTCTGCCAAACATGATCTTAAGCAACCAGAAGATGACACCGACAACTGTGAAAAAGTGTGCCTCCTTAAAGAGCCCTCTGGGGTTGAAGTGGCACCAAGCAGTGAATTACATATCCCAGTTCATTTTCTGGATGGTTTTTGCCTTAATGCTTCTGTTTTATGTGGTCATTGCAAAAAAAGTATATGATTCTTACAGAAAGTCGAAAAGTAAGGACAGCAAAAACAACAAGAAGCTGGAAGGTAAAGTGTTTATTGTTGTAGCTGTCTTCTTTCTGTGTTTTGCTCCATTTCATTTTGCCAGAGTTCCATATACTCAGAGTCAAACCAACAGCAAGACTAACTGTAGATTGCAACAACAACTGTTTATTGCTAAAGAAACAACTCTCTTGTTGGCTGCAACAAACATCTGTATGGATCCCTTAATATATATTTTTTTATGTAAAAATTTCACAAGAAGGTTATTATGCATGAGAGGAAGAAAGCCTACAGCATCAACCCAAGACAATCATACCAGTCAGACAGACAATATAACCCTAAACTGATGACTTTATCATGGCTCACTTCTATTTATGGACTAGATTTCAAAAGACAATTTATTTGGAAATAACATTTAAGCAATAAAAAGGGATTAAAATAAATGTTTTCTTACATTTTATTATCCTGATATACAAAAAGGATTATGTAAATTTAATTCCACATAGATGTATTCATAAGCAGAATGAAGTATCATTAAGAGAATGCAACAGAAAGCAAGTGGCCACTAGAGGTCATCTTTTCTAGAACATTCACTTACATTTTGGAATAGATTTATTGTGGATAAATGTGTATTCCAAAAAACCTCCCCTCCAAAACACCTTCTCACATTGTTTTACGCACATAATTCAAACAGCACTCCGACTTTGTATTCCAAAAATGTTGATACTTGCTGAATTTTTGGGAAAAAACAAAACCACCTTGAAAGTCCTTCGGTGAAGCTGAAACTTAGGGGTTGAAAGGGATGCCACATATGAAGCATCTGGGGAGCTGTAGGTGGTCAAAGGCCTTTGAAAGTTCCTCACAGTTACAAAGAGCCTTTTCCATGTTATTCCAACTCAACATAGGAGGCACGGGAACCATAATTAAGCCACACGAAACACTGTGCTATAATACTTTGCTCACATGCCAAGAGCATACAATTCAAGGACAAAAATACTGTATTCTTCTTCTTTAGCATTTTCCTCTACCCAGCAAATCCGCTAATGGTGGTTGAATATGCCACCTACTTAGTTAGCAAAGCCTTCCTGGGCAACAACCTCTATCCTCCTGCCTCCCACTCTGGTTAAAAATAATTGCTTCTCCAACTGTTTGGGTATGTTTTAGGGCCTTCATTGCATATGTCCCTTTACCAGTTCACTGTACTCTTGACTGCATCCCCTAAAGATGGTTAGGATTCTCTAAGAAAAATGTGTTTTGAAGACAGAAAATGTCATTTTTTATTGGTAAATCCCACAATACTTCCCACTGACCTTGGGTTACAAATGTTTTATATAGAATATGTCAAAATATTATGCTATTCTTGGTACATACATAGATGAAACTGCTGGCCCACAACCAGTAACATCCATACTGGGATATTTTTCAAAGGATGGAGCCCTACTTGGACTTATTTACCTCCGCATGTTTTTCCTAAATACCTTTGTGGTTCAAAAAAAACTACAAAATGGGTATCTGGTATTGTAGATGCCAACTTAAAACTTCCAGAGAGAATGCACAAATGAATGCTCACGCTCTGTGAATGTGCCTCCAGCTCCAGCGTTATCATCGGAAGGTGAATTTCAGGCCTCTTCCTACGCCCTCAAGGGCACTGAGGCCCTGGAACCTACCCACCACTCTG